GGGGGGGGGGGGGGGGGTGTCACACTCCCCAATAGTATCTCAATAGGAAATTTCAGGTAAAATCCGCTCGGTGGAAGAAACGCTTTAGGTATTTCAGAGACCTTCTTGTCATAAAATCAATAAAGGATCAAGCAAAGGTAGTTGCTCCGTTGGTTAAATATTATATTCCTTGATATGAATGAAGGTAAACAAACTAATGATTTGAAGATTTGAAGATTGCTTGTTGGCAACAAATTTAAAAATCAAGGCCCTCTTTAGGTAAGATTGTGCCTTCTGTCCATTTCTCTTAAAGTTTCTCAGTAGAAGCGTCAACTGCAATTCACTATGAGCTCCAGATTTTTTTAACATTCAAAAGGCATGCTAAAATGGAAAGAGGGATCTAAATTGACAACCAGTGCTGCTTCTTACCTAGCATTAGAAGTAACTGACAACCTGGAATTTTTCAAGACCACGGCGCAATTGTTGTTTTTTTCTGATGTAAAATATTTTTGCAAAAAATGACAATTTTCAATAGGATTAGGAGGATTGTTTTAGTGAAATTTGCTTAAAAGAGTGCTTTTTCCAGGAAACTAGAAGCATCAAAATCCGAAAATTTTCTCCTGCTTCGGCGGCAACCATGGTGCCGCCTCAGGGAGTAACTATATCCTTTGCCTGTCCTGATATAGAGATTTGACAAAACTGTTAAGAAAGTCCGTTATTATCATATAAAATGAAAGTTGCGAATTATATACAGAGTTAAATTGCCCAAATGTATTGCAGAGGTTTGTGACAGCAGCTAAAGATTTCAGGCAATAATTTTTTAATCAGGTAAATCTGTAGTTCACACCCCCCCCCCCCCCCCCTCCAACGAGGCTTGCCTCGCGACGGCCCTGGTTTTATTATGTATGAAAATAGACTTATTGGCACTAGCACGACCCCCCACCATCCCCTCGTGCCCCCACCTAGACAATCACATTAACTCACACGCAAAGATAAATGAGCATCTGTAAGGATGCTATAGAAGGTGCCCGTGCTGCATCGCCGATTGCACTTGTACCGTTTGGGCTTGGGTGCGTGTAAATCTAGGTCCAATTACAGACACAATTTTGCATAAAATGCTTCTCTTAAAAATTCTGTGCATTCGAACGAAAGCAATTGGATATCAGTTTTAGAACCAAAAATTGGATATCTTCGGAACAAAATGTCTATTTTGCAAACATAAGAAATTTCATTGTGACCCCGCTCTTCCTGCAGTTGCAAGTGGCGTTTTCTGATGTTTGAATTTTATTGTTAGATCAATTTTATTTTGTACAAGTAGCTGCAATGGCACCGAAATTGAGATTCTTTGCATCTGCACTTAGGTGGCTATGGGCCCGCAAAAACTGGACGTGGCCCTGAAAAAACTCGCTAAGGCCTTGCATAGCCCGCTATGACCCTGTAAAAACTCGCTATTCCCCTAACAGAACTGACTATGGCCCTGCAAAAGCATATGCCGTGCCGCAGGTAAGAACAGGACGGTTCAAGGACGGCTTTTGTGGGCGGGCATTTAACGCGTCAGGCCAATAGCATTTCATTTTCAAGTTCGTAACTTGAGTGAGTATTCATCATGTCTGGGCATTCTATTGAGGTGACACTTAGGGTGTGGGTTAAGTTTCAATATCTTTGTTGGCTGTTGATCAAATAAGGCTTGGCCTATAATTGTCGTTTATAATGGTTGATTTATCGTACGTTTTACCATAGACCGAGATTGCAAAGCGACTCAACGCAATATGCACGCAGTTGGTGCCATTTCTCTCTCAAGAGGTAAGATTAGTAATGTTTTGAGCTGCTTCCCAGAAACACGCAAACCTCAAAGCGAGTTTTGTTGTTTCCATCTGACCAAAAACGGATGAATTATTCTGAGAATTCAAAGCATTTTGTCTCAGTTCATGAGACTGCTATTATGTTTACATTCAATAATAGCCGCATGCCAAGCTTTAGGTTCTGTGGTTTTGCAGTGGTGGATTTCCATAACGTTGTTGCTACAATCAACCGCTAAAACTGTTAGCAACAGCAGTCACCATGAGAATCTTCTTCAAAATCAGTCGTCTATTATTCATTACTCGTCAGAAAGTGCGGAGCTTGCCTTTGCGTAGCTGTCATCTTCTGCCCCCTGATCCGTGTGGAATACCTGTAGTTTTCCATTAGTTATGTACATTGAAACAAGGGGTTTCATCGTATGAAATCACAGTTTGCTATAATGTAAAATTGTGGGGCTAGCGCCGTACTTATTTAGAGGTCATACGCCCACTCACTTGCCTTGCATGGAGACCATGACACTTGCACTAATGATGTTTTGACGAAAGTAAGTAATTTGGAAAAGCTGGTAAATCTATTCCCACACCCAACTTCTCAACGAAAACAGCCATTCTTGTTGATGTTTGCCATGAGTCAATGCACAAGAGTGTGAAATATGCGATGTAGTTTCGGAAAGCTGCACGTGCGCCCTGTCGATTTTGGGGCTCTTCGCTTTTTGGAAAACCTCTCGTTTTGTGTAGTCAAAGATGTGTACAGAAAAAGCACACTCATTTGCCAGTTATCAAGAACTTGTGTAGTTTGTAGCTTGCTCAGGACTCTAAAAGATATTTACCGTAAGAAACCACGTCAGATAGAAATGAAAATAGGAATCTTTGAAAACGGGAATGCCAAAATTTATGTAAATAACATCCAAGAGACTGTATCAAATAAAAGGCCTCAAAATTGGTTGGCGACTGCCTTGCTTAAATATCAGCATTTCGTTCATACGTTTTTTCGTCCACTTCATGTTCGTTTTTTAGAGTAAGGTTGAAGTTTAAGACTGTAATTTAAAACTGTCTTGTTCGATAGCTTACTTTGAAAAAGAGTCTTTGAAAAAGTGCAGAATAACAAGTAAAACTTAGACTAGCAGATAATTTGATTTTCATTTTATAGTTTCAAAGCAAGTTTAGATCAGAAATCTCGTGTTCTATCAGTTTTCCTCCATGAGCCTATGATGAAGCATTCGAATCAGACAATGGTGTTGTTGTTGTCTGTGTTTTCTGTGTCACATAGATCCCTGTCTTCAAATCGTCAAAGCTCTAAAGCTCAGTGCGTTAATGACAAAGAAACATCCAAAGAATGCTGAAAAACCTGGATTGGATCTTACAGCAAATGCAGTGGTTGTGAAAAGAACTATAATCTTGTGTTGAACATTCTTTCTTCACCGCATTCCCATTTTGTTTTGAACGATCTGATGGGTAGTTCAGGTTCTTGTCTCTCGCCCAGATCTCGTCAAATAATTCAGAAAACCGCAGTCGAATATCCCCAGCCGTCACATACTATCAATGCACATCAAACTCTTTGTTTATTGTAGTCAAACCTGGTCACAGGGCGGCTACCTACTGTTGTATTTTCTGTCAAAGTTATCCCTGTTGTTAATGGGACTACGTGAATAAGACGTGCTTGGGCATTGCGTTTTGTACCAACCTATTTTGCTTATTTGTAATCAATAGTAAAATTAACTTAGGAAACACAGATAAGTAAAACACCAATTCATATTTGTCAAATATCAGGTAGTTTTTCCAAGCAATCGATTTTACAGAACCAACTGAAGATTTCATCAACTTTTTCATAAAATGTGGGGGGTTTCACACCACATACACACCCCTGTAAGATGCCAACCCCGTCTACACAGTTTTTCAAAGGTAAAATTAGCTTTCAGTTTGCTTCTTCCGACCAACTCCGTTCGGCCATCTTCGTGCGACCACCTCCGTTTGGCCATCTTCGTCCGACCACCTCCTTTCGGCCATCTCCTTCTCTTTCAACTGATCATTAGTACCTCCTGATTTGCTTTGCAGATGAGGTTTCACTGTAAGGTTTCACTGTAGGGTTTCATTGTAAGTTTTCACTGTAAGGTTTCACCACTGTAAGGCTTCACTGTAAGGTTTCACTCTAAGGTTTCACTCTAAGGTTTCATTCTAAGGTTTCACTGTAAAACGCCTTTGAAACAGCTTGGGTAACTCTATACAGCGGTCTTTGAGTAGGGAATTCGCACTTCTATTTTCATTTGCCTAAGCCGTTGAAAAGCCACGACAGCTCTGTGGTCCAGACCGGCGGATAACAGATAAATTATACCTTTTAATTTTCCTATCAGTCTTAGACATTAGCTTTTATCGTGAAGCTTGATAAAGATCATTGGTTTCCGACCAATATTTTAAATCAGGGTTTAGCATAACACATTGTGTGGTTAATTATGGCTAATATATTTCAAAACATAATCCTGTGGCAAGCAATACCTTTCCTTTATAACGTTTGATAGTACCTCTCGCTCTATGATTACTTCCACCTCGCCCGTTATTCTTTAATGTCGTTCTATTTTTGTGAGTTTCCCATTCAAGGTCTATTTTATCACATCTTCATCCAAATTGTGCCTTGTTGTTTTAGTCGAGGCAGCTAAGAATGTTTATTTAGACCTAGGAACTTTTGTCATTTTTTGATAATGTGAACCACAATGTTATCAATGCAACTTGGATTTCCTCTTACCAACCGAACTCAACAACACCCAACAACAAATCCATTTCGATACCTAACACCTATTTTTGTATATGAAAACTTCCTTCTCAAACTGAACCTCTTCTGCAGGTAGACTGAATCAGTTGCTCTTACACAGACAGGTTAGAATGCTCCTTGATGAAACAGCAACTTTGGCTGACCTGTTGGCTGATCTTGTACGTCTTTGTACGATTTGATACGTCTCCCTTTCTGATAAATGTCATTATGCGGTCAAAGTACAGCTAATATTCTTTTTGAAAGAGCTACAACCGGCGTTTGATCGTAATCCAGGCATCCATTGTTTCATTTTTTCCTCTTGGTATACCACGTGAACGAACCTTAACTTTCTGTTAAATACCAAAATTTGTTTATGTTCTGAATGCAGTTCATTCGCCTAGGGAATAAGGAAAGTGCCAAATGATGAAACTTTTAACCTAGTTTGTGGACCCTTGCGATTCTTTTGTGAAATGACGATCTTTTTTGTATGGCAGGACCCATTTAGCGTTACACGCGTTTCTCTTTTGATCGCCATGAGTTTGTCGCTCTCGGAACTGGTTCAAAAAAAGTTCAAACACTCTCCACATTTTTGTGCGTTTCAGAGAAGAAACATTTGTCATTTTCTTTTCTGTGCTAGATAGAAATCCTGAATTAAAGGAAGATGAGATTGTTTGTTTTGATGCTACGGATTTGAGCTCCTTTAGTTGTCTGTTGATTTGAGGCTTCTTCAGATTTACTTTGAATTTTCGACCTTATTAGAAATTTGTGTGTATTGTCACTACTATTACTATTTAAAGAGCACTTAAATTTGGTCCTGCACGAATAAAAGGTACAATCTCTTCTGAAAGGGTTATAGAAAAGTTGCTAATTTATCTGATTGTAATCCAGTTTATCATTATGAGACCGAACAACAAAAGTTGAGAAAGTTGTAAACAATATTTCGCACTGTGGCCCTCAGTCTTGTCTGTTCATCATGACTTACTATTAAGATTATTTTTTACTTCCCATTGTGAGAGTCATCTGCAATGGAAGTTTATTAGCCTTTCGAAATTCCACTTAGAGTAAAAACTGGCAATAAGAATTCGGTTGATTCTTGTATCATACAGAAAAGTCATCATAAAGCGCTATATGTTTCCCTGCACACAAGTTTTTCATGTCCTCGTGCTAATATTTACTTCCATCAGCACTCCGTTGACATAATGTTTGAATGAGGATAGATGAAGACACTGTTTGCTTTCCCTATTGCCATTCCTTCCCTCATTGTGATAAGTGTTTGCGCAGCTTCGCTTGTTGACACGTGGATTTCTTGATCAAATTTGTGTACGTGTTTCCCTGAAACCCATTGTCGCGCATCTCCACCCCCCCCCCCTCATTCGACCACTTTCCCCCTTTGAATTCGACAATGACAGCATACATCTTATTCAATCAATTGTTTAATGATTGTGTTTCAGCATCAGCAACAAGTTTTGCAAGCAATCGACCGGGCAAAGCAGGTCACCATGAACGAACTCAATGCAATCATTGGCGTATGTAACTTTTATTTGTAATCGATTTTTTTTAAAATGATTCTGTTGTAGCATATGGTTTTTGTGTTTAATGAAAGTTTTTCAAATAAAAATGTCATCTCGTTTATACATGAACCAACATTTTGAGAGATATTAAGTTGAAAATGATTTGTATTGTTGAATCTCTGCTTCACAAAATTTGTGTACAAAAATCTCCATACGTTGGACAGTTGTTAACTTAATCATTCACTCGAAGTATTTCTTGAATTTCCTTTTGTCAAGCTTTTTAGCTTTTGCAAATTCGCCAAGATCAACTTCTTTTAATCCATTTTAATTGGGATGTATTTTTGATACAATGCAATCTTCTCCATCAATAGCAACAACTACATCAACAAGGCCTGCCCCATTCACATCCACCCGGCCTTCCTTTGCCGCACCAAGGTGCTCTTCCTCCTCCACATTTACCTCCTGGTTCTGGAAGTGGACTTCTAGCCTTGTCAAATGTACTCTCGTCAACTCCCCATTTGCCAGTGAGAGAAGAAAAAGGTGCTCATCCTTGAATTTATTTGTTTCCGAACTATCGGCAAACTGCTTGATACTGTCGCAATAAGCTCATTACGTAGGCTTTTTCAAAGTTTTCTCTAAAACTGGCCAGTGACAATAAAATTGCAAAGAAGTTTTGGCTGCGGTATCTTGTTGCAGTAAAAAGTGACTGCAAAGCTTGGTCCCTGTTTATAAGCACTTTGCTTTCACAGATATTTCGTTTATGTTTTTTATTATCATGTTTTCGTGCTGCGCCATGTCATTTCTCTGTGTTCATCATTTTTGGTAACCAGTCATGTTTGATTAGACGCCGTTTGATTCGTAGATGTACTTGCTGATTCTGTTAATATTTTTAATTGCATTTTTAAAGTTTTTGCCCACACTAATGAATTTTCTTTCTTTTTTCTGCCCATTTCGGAACAGAAGGAATGGTAAGTAGCAAGCTATTTATATAAATATATTCAGTGAAATGAAAAAGTTTTTTGTCTATCCTTCGGTTAGACAATTGCCCCCTTATTGGCAACTACGATTATTGGAATTCCCGATACATCCAGGGACATAACAACTTATTGTTGTAGCAATCAAAGAGAGAGTAGTTTTAATAGTTGCCTAATTATCGCATTAAGCGTGAATCTCGGAGTAGCAACTAAAACCGTCCAATGCTATACACCAAAAGCGTATATATAAAGTTAGTTACATCTTTCATTAACATTTGCGACAGGTTTCTTCCAATACTCCAACTCTTCAAATTGCGCATGATTTTCCTTTCCAAGATTGATAAGAGCAAATCTTGTTTGATTTTATGTCCCAGTGATACCACGTAAACCAGCAATTGTCGCCAAATCAAATTTTCAAACCGACATTTTGTTTTTGCTCAGAATTCAGTGTCACCTGTGGGCAGCAAGTACAGGAACACTGCCGACAGTCATTCGTCTCATGGAAGTGACGATGGCAGAGGTTCGTCCTATCCCTTTTTCATTCTTCCTAGCATTATCTTTTTGTCATCGCTACATTATATTGGCTTCTCCCTTTTTGTCTTTGTCATTGGTCCTTGTTCGTACCAGTTATAAGTGAATTCATAGGTCATAAATATTAGAAAATGTTTATATACATTTGTGTATTACTGTGTTTATTTGTTATTTTATTAGGCTCGTCAAACATGAAACACCCAAAACGAAGAAGAGAAGAAAAGGAGCCTGGCAGCGTGTGGAGACTTGCTGAGGTGCTCTTTCGGTTGTTTTTATACATTTTTCAGTTCCCATGATTGACATATTGTATTGATAATGGATAGTTGCTTTAATGTGAACATAGATGTCAAGTTCATCCCTGTGGAAGAGATTTATCATCCTTCAATTTTTAGCTAACATCATTCACGCAAACCCAAAATAAGAAGTCCCTTGTCGGGCATGTGATAAATTTCTATTCTCCTTGCTGCGGCATGCATTTGTATGCTTTTAGATTACGGAATAATTTTTGCTTTAGTTTATATTGATATGAACCCTAATGATAGTAAAAAATCCACTGAAGTTGCTGCCAGTGATGATGAGTAAGTGATTTTGTTTCTATTTTTCATTCTGATATTGTTTATAATTTAACTTTTACTTAAATTTTCGTAGGATAGCGATGCCGATAAGAGTGACGGTGAACTTGTCGTTGATGACACAAACGAAGTAAGTGAATTTCTGCTGACTAAAAATCCAGTTGTCTTATTTTTGTTTATGTATGTTTTTGTTTGTTTGTTTGTTTTTGTTTTGAATTAATTCAGCAAGTTTTCCCAAAAGCAACGTCTCTTGGAAGAGCGGAGTATATTTTTTAGCTTAAAAATTTTATTTTTACTTATGTAAAAATAACGTTTACTTATAAAGATAATGTTTGTCTTTAATCTGCTCTCTTTTATATTATTATCTCCCAAGTATTGTATTTGCATAAGCTGATAGGGTATTGTGTTGAACGATAGATATAATAGATAAATGAATTAATGATAAATAAATCCGTTGTCTTTAATCACTATAATTGACTTTCTCAACTTGACTGTTTAGCCATTTCTTTGCTCTGATTTACTTTCCTTCTTGCCAAAGGATTCTCGTTCGCCGGCTGCGTCAAAGCGACTTGAAAATGGCGATTCCAGTCCCCTACAAGGTGAAGCGGTTGATAAAAAACCAAAAAAGGAAAGCTCGCGGGAAACGACATCCTCTGCCGCTTCATCACCTCCAGTCCCGTCATCAAAACACGGCAAGGCAAGAATTTTTGACAAAACTTTCTCTTATTAACATTTTTTCCGCGTTGTCTGGTACGGTGTTGTCTCGATCTAGCATACAAAAACATTTACTTGCTTTCTGCTTGCATGTTGTTTAGTACTTGCTTTCTGCTTGCATGTTGTTTAGTACTTGCTTTCTGCTTGCATGTTGTTTAGTACTTGCTTTCTGCTTGCATGTTGTTTAGTACTTGCGTTCTGCTTGCGTGTTGTTTAGTACTTGCTTTCTGCTTGCATGTTGTTTAGTACTTGCTTTCTGCTTGCATGTTGTTTAGTACTTGCTTTCTGCTTGCATGTTGTTTAGTACTTGCTTTCTGCTTGCATGTTGTTTAGTACTTGCGTACTGCTTGCGTGTTGTTTAGTACTTGCTTTCTGCTTGCATGTTGTTTAGTACTTGCTTTCTGCTTGCATGTTGTTTAGTACTTGCTTTCTGCTTGCATGTTGTTTAGTACTTGCTTTCTGCTTGCATTTGTTTTAGTACCGTGCTTTCTGCTTGCATGTTGTTAGTACTTGATTTTCTTGTTTAGTACTTGCTTTCTGCTTGCATGTTGTTTAGTACTTGCTTTCTGCTTGCATGTTGTTTAGTACTTGCTTTCTGCTTGCATGTTGTTTAGTACTTGCTTTCTGCTTGCATGTTGTTTAGTACTTGCTTTCTGCTTGCATGTTGTTTAGTACTTGCTTTCTGCTTGCATGTTGTTTAGTACTTGCTTTCTGCTTGCATGTTGTTTAGTACTTGCTTTCTGCTTGCATGTTGTTTAGTACTTGCTTTCTGCTTGCATGTTGTTTAGTACTTGCTTTCTGCTTGCATGTTGTTTAGTACTTGCTTTCTGCTTGCATGTTGTTTAGTACTTGCGTACTGCTTGCATGTTGTTTAGTACTTGCGTACTGCTTGCATGTTGTTTAGTACTTGCTTTCTGCTTGCATGTTGTTTAGTACTTGCGTACTGCTTGCATGTTGTTTAGTACTTGCGTACTGCTTGCATGTTGTTTAGTACTTCCGTACTGCTTGCATGTTGTTTAGTATTTGCTTTCTGCTTGCATGTTGTTTAGTACTTGCGTACTGCTTGCATGTTGTTTAGTACTTGCGTTCTGATATTGTTCACGTTCTGTTCTTCACAGATAGTCGAAAACAGGACCTCAACATCAGTTACAACATCACATTCATCATCGAGCCCTGGCCGCTCCTCGCCGCTTACAAAAATGTCTTCACTCAGTAAGTAGGCCTAGCAATCGTGATCTAGCGATATTTTTCTTATATCATTGTATTAATTTGAACCAAGCATGCTCCTTTCCTCTCTAAATTTATGATAGGACGTTTATTAACGTTTATCACATCGATAACTAAATGTTAATAATGATAATTTAAAACATCATTTATTTGCATTTTAGCACCCTCACTACGACCGCCCAGTTCCATTAGCAACGGCCCCTATCCATTCATACAGTCACACAGTATTGGAAGGTTTGTGTCTTAACATACATACGTTGTCATTCAATGGTGCTAATTCATCTTCGATAACTTTGCCTTGTCATTGATATGTTTTGTCAATATTTCTGTTTCTTTATTTCAGTGATCTGAGTCCAGTTCCCTTTCCAACAAGCATGGCCAATAGCATATCACAGGGTGAATTGTTAAAAAACAAAGGTACTTTGACTCCTTTCAGATTATTCTCTCAGATTTCTCTACTGTTTGAGCTGTTGTATTGCAGTTCACTCTTGGACTTAAGGACCCACTTTAATTGAAAAATTCTACTTTAATTAAGTCTCTTGTCATCCTTAGTTGACTTTCATTGATCCCTTTCTTCAAAGCAGGGATTTGAAATTAATCTAAAAAGATCATTGAGTTACATCGAAAGCGTTGTACTAGAACAATGGCATCATGGGATGTCTTATACATTCCAAGGAAATCCGTATGGGCTTTGTCAAACTCAATTACCTAAGTTAAGCTTCTTTTTTCTGTAAATCCTGACTCTTCCAGGTACGAAACTAATGCATGTTGTGTTCAAGAAGTTTTTTTCATGATTGTTTATTAAAGCAGTGCAAATGCTATAGATCATCAAAAGATGACTTAGTTGTTGTTTGTTAATTGTTGTTAATGAACCAATCTCTATTTTAGGCATTCCTTATGGAAGACCGCCCATTGTAAGTATCCATATTTCTACGGTGTGAAATACTGACGTTGGAAGTAGTTAGTTAGTTAGTTAGTTAGCTTGTGAATTGACAAAAATTATTTCACAAAAGTTATTCAAGTCATTTGATATCTTGTCATGATCATCCAGACTTGCTAAAAATTGCTTGGCTTCCTTGACGTCATCCGTCTGAAGAGGAAGGACCTCTCAGCCTCCAAGCGAGCATGTTACACCCGCAAACCCAACGCTCAAACCTACCGCTAGCTTTGTTCTTGTTAACAGTAGTTAGATTATGTGCTTGCTGGTGATTGCTCTTTTCTGGTTTTCCTAGAGTGGTTTTGACCCACATGGACCTTCTCGAATGGGGATGCTGCAGTCTCTTGGGATGCCTAGTGGCAAACCCGCCTACTCTTATCACGTCTCTGGGGATGGCCAGATGCAGCCTGTGCCTTTCCCTCCCGATGCTCTGATTGGGCCTAACATTCCACGTCATGTTAGACAGCTGTGTACGCTGAACCACGGAGAAGTTGTTTGTGCCGTAACGGTTAGCAACCCGACGCGACATGTTTATACCGGAGGCAAGGTAGGTTTTGTGGCTTTTTATTTCTACACTGTGGATAATTAACTGAGTTAGTCATGGCTGAGTTTTGTTTTCTCTCATTGTAATATAATATGGTTGAATCGGTGGGTGGGTTGTGAATATCGTCTCCTAGTCATCTATTCCTAACTTGCGTTATTCCTAAAATGAACGTTTTTCCTTACAACCACTTTTCCTTTCCCTTCTTGTATTTCTATCTTCTTTATTTTTTAAAAGAAAACTTTTTCTTACAAACGAAATAATAAAAGAAAACATTTATCTTTGATTAAGCGCCCGGGCATTTTATTTGTGTCCGTAATTATTCAAGGAGGCGCTTATTAGAAACTGTGAACTTGTAAGAAGATTGAACTTTATTTAATTGAACGATTGGATGAAATCTCTTTAGAGATATATTTTGAAAAAGATACGAGGCATGCTTATTCAAGAGGGTGCCAACTCATGGTGGCGCCAAATCATGGCGGCGCCAAATCATGGCGGCATAGACTGTCATCGAAATTAATTCATACTGAAAACTGTTAGATAAAAACTTTGTACTCAGACAATTCAGCTGTTTTAAATTGAACCCAGTCATTCTTGTGGTGAATATTCAAGTTTACCATGATCACTCTTTTTATGATAATTTGATCTTTGGCTACTTTGATCGTTGGTATCGGACCAAATGAAATGCGTCAGTCTTCTGATTGACTGTTATTCAACATCGCTACTTCTGTTTTCAGGGCTGTGTCAAGGTTTGGGACATAAACCAGGCAGTTACTCAATCGACATTGACCAAACCAGTTTCAACGCTTGAGTGCCTGGTAAGTCACTAACAACGCTAACTAAAACAGCAGAACCTCTATTATTCTATTGTCGTATGAGAATCCATGTGTGCTTGAGTGTCAACGATGAGCTTGGAGTATAGAACCATCTGATGTGGCTATGATATTTGTATTCATCAGATCTTTAATTGAGATTTTACTTAGTGATATTTAAGTCATTGATATTTGGCTATTTTCCTGTAACAAGCTATTTCCCAAATCAGACCTGTCTACACTTCAACGTCTGCACTCTCAAATTCGGGGTGGCGGGGGCAGGGGGGTGCTGCCTCGATTGGCCTGAAATGAAAAATGTTGATTTGGATAATTGTTTGGAGGTAATCTAATAAATTAATATTGCATAATAATGTAGGTAATAAGAAAAAGGATGTAGGTAATAAGACGGGTATTTTACGATTTTCTTTTTTTAGATAGGTTTTTTTAGTTTTTTGTACTCAGACCTTTGAGCAAGCCCCTGTTCTTGATCTCTAAAGGACCTCCTGGGTCTACACCTTAAACTGATTTGTGCCAGGGATACTCGATTAGCTTTTAATTCATGCGCCTCCCTTTTCAGCGCGACATTTACATACGATCCTGCAAACTGCTTCCCGATGGCAGAACCCTCATAGTCGGAGGCGAGGCAAGTATGTTGACAATATGGGATTTAGCAGCCTCGACTCCAAGGATCAAAACTGAACTCACTTCTAATGCTCCTGCGTGCTACGCTTTGGCAATCAGCCCTGACTCAAAGGTCTGCTTCAGTTGCTGTAGCGATGGCAACATTGCTGTATGGGATCTTCACAACGAAACACTGGTGCAGCAGTTTCAAGGCCATACTGATGGTGCTAGTTGTATAGATATTTCTCCTGATGGATCAAGGTTGTGGACAGGTACTGTATGATCTGTAACATTGTTTTGAAATATTACTGAGCATTTTAATGGTAGAAGGGGGGTTGTCCCTTCTTCTGTTGTTTAGGGATTGCCCTACTTGCCGTTACTTTGTCTATCGTTATGAGGCTATTGGTTTTGCATTAAGTCTTTGAATCTTCATTTAGGTGGTTTGGACAACACGGTGCGGTCATGGGACCTCAGGGAAGGAAGACAACTACAGCAACATGACTTCAGTTCGCAGATATTTTCACTTGGGTATTGTCCAACAGGGGAATGGTTAGCAGTTGGAATGGAAAGCAGTAACGTTGAAGTTCTTCATGTAGCCAAACCCGATAAATACCAGTTGCATTTGCACGAGAGCTGCGTGCTGTCCCTAAAATATGCTACTAGTGGAAAGTGGTTCGTCAGCACGGGAAAAGACAACCTGCTAAATGCATGGAGGACACCCTATGGCGCGAGTATTTTCCAGGTGAGACTCGTTTATTAATGCTTCTCCATTTTGGCAGCCCTTGTTTTTGTTAAAACCAAGTAATGATCAATTTTTCCACGTTTGATTATGTAACTTTAGATGTTAACATGTACTTGTTTTTGTTGTTAGCTAGTTTTAATTCATAGATATACTTGCTTTTCAGTCTAAAGAGTCGTCCTCGGTTCTGAGTTGTGACGTATCGTCAGATGACAAATACATTGTGACGGGGTCTGGGGACAAGAAAGCGACGCTGTATGAAGTGATATACTGAGGGCTGGCCGTTACCTTGGCAATCGAATATTCACTGTTAGGTTACGCGTGTTCGCTACAGAACTGTTGCGAATGCTATTCTGCGCTCGTAGGCCCCAGGCCTCAACCGTCGACAAACTGCGACCACATCCATGCTGATGATAGATCTGTTTTGTTTTGGTTTGATGAAGGCACGTGTTGCTGCAGGACTTAGCAACAGATAAACAGTGAACTTCCCTTACACTGTGCTCTATAAGAACAATATTTGTTCATTTGTGAAAAGGTGATCGAAATCGTTTTAATCTGTCAATTTGTTGATTCCATGCAACGTACATCAAGCTCGTTCTTAGAATAAGGCTGGTCCATTTTCTTGTGTATTTCCTGCTCTATTTCTTTTAAAAGAAGTATTGTAACCATCAGCTGCTCTAGATTCTGCACGCGACTTGATGTGTTTCTATGCAGAAACTTACATTAGAATTGTATATAGAGAGAATATGTTAGAATCTCTATCTATAGAATTGTACGATGGCGTGATTTTATGATTAAACGGAATGCATGCAGATCCGCTTAAAGAGGATGGCATCGTTCCAAGAAAGCACCGAGATATTTTATATTGAGCGGCCAGGTCACCTTTTTTGAGCTGCATTTTTGGTTACGGATAATTACCTCGAATTTTGGTTTTTGCGGTGATAACAGAAGATTACCCGGGGTTCTTAACTGTGTTGCACATAACACTTGGCGGTCAGTAGGGAATTTACTTGGTGCAAAAGTGAACTACTGTACTACGTTCATCATTTCCATATTCTAGAGAGGGTTTGTCTCTCCAGTTATTCTGCCACTTACCGTTTAAACCTTGGTACAAGAGAAGCAAGATTGAATCGAATGTACAATATGGATTTATTTCTTGAGGACTTGAAGTAACCGATCAAAGCCATGTAGTAATACTAGGTTATATTCGTCTCAATTATCTTGTTCCTTGTTGGTGAATGACTTGATGTTTATTAGATCCATTGTAAAACTGAAATTTTTTGTTATGTACTTTGTGTCCAAAACAGTGTTAAAAATGGCCACTTATCATTAAGAGTGTTAGGTGGAAACGCTTTTGAAGTTATAAAGCTGCAGTATTGACACAAAGGAAGAAACTGAAAGCCTTTCTTTGGGTAATTATCTGCCGTTTATATTCCGGAAGAGTGTCGGACGAAAAGTGCTTTCAGTATGTTTTTCCGCTATTTCGTGTAATCCTCAAATTTTGCGGTCCCAAATTTTTTTTGAACCATAGAACCGTATGATAATGCACTTAATACACACGAAATGCTGCTTAAATTGAGCGTCAAAAGGGAGTATCATCATCACAGCTCTTTTATTTTCTTAGAAGTCATTATCGATACCTTGACAGTGATATCGTATTAGTCATTTCGTATTTGTTGTTATGAAGTTATCGTCAAAGTTTTGTTCTTTTTAGCTCTCGTTGTCCAATGTCTTACAAATCTAACTAGATGAACATTTTTGGGGCAGTTGTAGGGTTTCAGAAAAAGCATAGTGTTAGGTGTACCACAGTGCTCTTGTCTAGGTCCCTTTCTTTTCTAAAAGTACATCAACGATGCTTTGACAATGCAAATTGTCAAGTTGTTCCTAAGAACTCTGTCAAACTGTTCTTAAGGTTTCGAAACTGTCAATTCTTTGTCTATCAGTAGATTTTGACACTCAACATTCAGAACAATAGGATGCAATAAAAGACCAACTTGTGAAGTCTTTTCTTGGTATTTAGGGTGATATTTCTTTTTTTATAGGTTGGTAAGGGATGTGTTTGCGTTTTAGCAATTGCAGTCCATCCCATTAATCTCTGTTAAGCCTTCGATGTTGTTTGTTAATTTTGTAGCAAGATAAGTGAATTCTATCACGGTTTCAACCGGAACTCTATTTATTAGTATTTGTTGGAATTCTTTCAATTTACATGACTTTGGTTTTCGTAAGTAGAAAATATGTCACTCGCTAATTTTACCCAGTTCAGTTCACTTTCGTTTTCATTTGACTGTAATCAATCCTACATACAATTCTATTTAATTGAATACACTACAATACGTCAACTTTAAAAAAATAAAGACATTACATGATGATATATAGGATAGATTTAGTAAAGAGGAGCTCTCTAAATAGGTTAACTAATCGAGAGCCCCCCCCCTGCCCATAAAAACAAAGAGACAAAGACTATCAGGTAAAGTAATCAACCAAATGGAATAATAAAACTAATTTGTAGGTCTTGGAGTTATTTCATATCTCCAGCTATCAGTGCGATATTATCGGTGTATTGGTTTTCTGAGGACCCAACTGCGATGCTGCCTTCAGACCATTCCAGTGCATTTCTCATTATTGATCCAGAACAGATGTTGAAGAGATGAGGAGAAATGATGCATCCTTGTCTGACACCTTGTTCCTGTCATAGCATGTTCCTGCGTGTTCATTATATTGAATTCCATCAAGTATACCCATAAAACCCACAACAGTGAAAATGTTCATAGATGTATCTTCGAAATTATGATTTTGAAGTAGCATTGCGAGTTCCCTTGAAGCATTGGCCATTAGATTGTAGTAATGTTACAAGGAATTGTCTTGGGTGGAACGCAGTGTAACCAGCATTGTAGAAGCCTGTCATGAACCGAGGTTCGCTAGAATATGCTAAGCGTGTACTTAATACGATCGACTTCTTGTTTAGCTGGATTGAGCTGGGGCTAAACAAAAATATCATGTAATGAGCATTAAAGTGAAAAAACAAACAAACTGAAGCTGTTTTGCAAAGAGGGCTATTTAGCTTTAAAATTTGTAAAGAATTGTCTAACAGAGTAGATCCTGAAAGCTCACGATACTGTCAAGCCCATTATTCGGTATTGTCGTTTTGTTTTGGCTTTTTGTGCTCTACTGAGATTGACCGATTGCAAAAGCATGGGAACTTAATTGATAAAACTTTGACGACCCCAAGACAGTTTGCTTATCGTAGGGTTGGGTTGGAAGATCATTGACAAATTTCGTAGCAATTGCTTTGTATTATGGTTTACAAACGGCTTAATGTGCTCAAACCTTGGTATCTGTGTGGTCTTTCTGCAAAACCGTAGAATGCTCCGCCCAAAGCTTTTCCAATACAGAAACGGACCCAAGGCTGACAAAGAAAATCCTTCTAATGGAAAAATATGTTTTTTTGAAGATCAAAGTTGTGGAATACCAAAGTTGTGGAGTCCAAAACCTCCTCTGTGTCCTTCAGCTACCAAAAGAACTCATTTGATTGACAGAAATAAACTTAGAACAAAAAAGGAGCTTTTGTGGTTGCATCTGGCGTCCCTTCCAATGTTGGTGGAGAGCGGCTACAAGGGTGGCCTGGAAATCGGTTAACACGTTGTCTTGACTAGGTCCAAGAACTTTTTTAGTGCTTCATGTTCGTGCCATGGCGCGTCTTCAGCTGTCACTGTGAAGGCTTTAACTCAAGGTTCATAGAAACTGCTCATGCTCTAAAATGATTGAAAAAGGTTTCCCGCCTCAACTTATTCTTTCGTAACTGTCAACATAATTTGATCCTTTATAGGAATCTTGAAAATGGGCCAGCTTCTGGAATAAGAATTTGAACATTTTTTTGTCGGTACAGAACTTGAAAATGGCTTTGAAAAAAACAAACATTTTACAACTAATTAACTAAAAGCTTTTTCGTCTGACACTCCCAGAGCATGAAATGTCAGAATGAAGGTCCGGAAGAACACGATGAAAAATAGATACCCAGTTGTGGATCGAAATTGGCCAATCAGAAAAATGCAAGCACAATTTTTTAATAAGAATTTTTTAATAGAAATATGAATTTGTTAGATGTTTTCAGAAATTTCGTTATATATAAGGAAGGCATTACAGGGAATATTCCAGGGAATCTCTTTAGAAATCATAACTGGCCTTTGACAAGGGCACGTTTATACGGAGGGAATTCTTTTGAAAATGGCACTTTCATGAAAAGGGCACCCTGCCTATCAAAAGGCAAAAAGGGTGGTTGCCCCACCCCACTGTGCCCCCTCTCCGGAGTCCCTGCTTAACATCATCTGAGTGCTGTATGGATGAAACAAAACACTATGTAACATAGATTTCGAATGTGTAAAACAGATACCAAGCCTTCTTTGTGGGGATCGCCTTCGTTTTGCTCTTAGTCGTTTTGAGATATTTATAGGAGATATATCAGTTTTGAAAGACCTCTAGGATAGTTCTTGAGAAAGATTATGCCCATGTCACGTGTTGATTATTATGTCGTTTGTTCGCATGCAAGTTATGTAGCTGCTGGGACGATTTCATCGAAAGAAAAGAAGGAAGGATTTAACCGATTTACGTCGCACCATTTATTGGCCATAATCTGCCTTTTGAAAAGTCCTTAGAATTATTAGTAACATTTTACAATAAGAGTATTTACCTTTTGACCACACCCTTAATGATTGAGACACGCCCTGTTTTGTCGGCAAAAGGTACTTCTTTACCCCTCCAAAAATTTGTTTGGCTTCGCTCCTGCCAATTCTCTAGACTTTGCTTCTGGCAATTCTCTAAACCAAAAGGGAGTGGATGGTGCAAATGAACTATTGCTTATGAACCTGAGCTATTGCAAAATTGAATGCTTATCTTGAATGGTATGGAATGTGCAATGATTTATGCGTAATTCGATATTCCGATATTCCGATATTCCGATATTCCGATATTCCGATGGTGTGCCAGCATAAGGACCTTTTCTTTTTAAAACATAGGTCAATTATTTATTTTATATAGTAAAAGATGCGGTTGTATCAAGCGTTCTTGGTGATACATGTGATCACAGCTAGAAAAGCCTTGAAAAAAGTTTGGAAGAAAAATTACCTGGGGGGATAAAAGGGTAGTTACCTAGGGGGATAAAAGGGTAGTTACCTGGGGAGATAAAAGGGTAGTTACCTGGGGGGATAAAAGGGCAGTTTCCTGGAGGGATAAAAGTTACCTGGGGTGATGAAAGTTTGCATTTACTATCTTTACGTATCTTTTTAAGCTATACGCCAACGTTTATTTAAAGAATTCCTTACAAGTCATAACAAGAACGTTGTACGATCTTTTCAACTGGCCACATTTTGCGGGATCTTTTCCAAATAACTCGAAAAAAGCTGGTGCTGCTATTATTTCAGTGTTCTAGGAAAGATAGGTCATATAAGGGCAGAGTTCTGCCTTCCGGTCCTATCACAGCTTTTTGAAAAATAAAATACGTGGCAGGTAATTTTGTGAGTACTTCGAAGTTACCTGACTTTAGACAACATCCGTTTAATGTGCCTGAATAAAATTAACTACGGAAGAATTTGTAATGGTAAACATTTTTTTGGGTTAATCCGCATTCGAGTAATCGCAAATAAAACAGAAGAATAAACGTTGCATTATCGGAGATAAAAGGTATCTGCCATATCAAAATATAACACAAGGAATAGGAAGTATCTCCATTTGCAAAAACTAGCATTAGAGTACACCAAAAAGAGATTCTTTGCTCACTGGTCCAATTGCTTAAAATGATATCCTACAATCCATTAGAGATATCGAATTCGTCACCTTTTGAGATAAAAAAAATCAGCTCGGCATTAAAGGCAATCTGTCACGACGTTGATTGGTTATAAGAACAAAGGGATTTTTATTGTTTCCAGTCCCCCTTTAATTTATCGCATTGTAAAAAATATGGCGGAGCGCTGGAATCGTGTTTAGGCTATTGTTCCAGCTATTGTTCTCGTTAACCAATCCACAACGAGACAGATTGCCTTCAATCCATGGAAGATCAGGCAATTTATTCTTTTTGATCCCTGGGTAACCTGAACAAATTTTTATGGCAATGTATTTTTTTTATATCATAACTTTTTTTCCTGAATGGATATCATGTATGAATAAGATTAAATGAACAAAACTTACTTTAAAAATGTAGTCGGTAATAATAAATCGCCATTAAAGTTGGAATAAACCAGTCAAATGTCAAATCTTTAGTCTCCTCAAACGCTTTCAAGATTAAATTTTTTTAAATTCCATAACATACCAAGAATTATTATGTGTAGTTCAAAATTTCCTGAAATTGCCAACAAAATGATTTACTACTGTCAGTTTGATGATTCACAAAAATCGCTTCAAATAAAAACAATCGTCACATTTAACAGACAAACGATACTAATTGTTTAATACGTTTCTTGTAATTTCTAGGTTTTTTAGTTTAGATTTTTCTGCAGGTAACCAAGTGGATTAATGATTAATATATTTGCTAATTAGCACGGCTGACGCTTCAAACGTGATTACCTTTAATTTTAAGGCAAAATGAAAGATAAAACTTTAATAAAGCTTTTGGTAGTAAAAGAGCGATAGCGAAAGATGACTAATGACTGGGAACCAGAAGCGGACTGGCCCACCAGGAAATTTCCCGGTGCGCCCTATGCCCCAAGTTATTTTTTTCAAAAACTTGAAAACTTTCAAAAGGCAAATAATCTTCGCACAGAACTAAAATTGATTACAATCATCAATTGACCTCTAATCCAAAGTACGTTTGCATAAAATTTTCAGCTTCACCTTTAAGTTGAGCCATATTAAGGTCAATTGCAAAGTTTCCCAATCTTTGCTATTGTTAATTAACAATAAAAAGACAAAATGTTGGTCAGCAAATTCTGCACGATTTTCTGAAAATCTTGTAAAAAACATATTTTGTTATGAAAATGACTTTGAAAAAATGAAACATTTTAAACGTAATAGCTTTGTTGCCTGAAACTCCTCAGAGTATAAAATGTCAAAAAATGGTCCAAAAGAACAAGATGGAAAATTCGATCCACAAATGGGTATTTATTCTCCATGTTGTTCTTTCAGACCCTAATTCTGAAATTATATACTCTGAAGAGGTTCAGAAGTTTTTAAAGAAAATTAAACCGCCTGTTTGGAAAAAAAACTGGTTTCAAATTTACAACTAGCTATTAAAGTATTCCATTCTTTCTTCAAATTTAAAGAATTGCTGTCCCGAAATAGAGACTGTACTCTTTCTTAAGAAAATTCTTTACCCTTTTTACCATGTCTACGCACAGTTTCTTAAACAAAAAAAACCTACCCATGTACAAAATCATCAATTTGCACAAAACGGATGGCAGCAAGAGCTGTTAGAATACATTTGTCCAAGATATTTTATCAGATATCTTTCGGACAAGTCTACGGTTTTAAACACATGTTCAATACTATATCATAATTCCGCACGCTGATGTCTATCTTTTGCAAATAATTTGTAACTGCAGCGTAGAGGCAGGAGCAACACTGTCATTAAGCTAGCAGGTGATGAGGCACCCCTTAACATTTTTCTAAGATATGCTGCAAAACTTTATATATAACTGTTTGATGAGCTAAGGCAAAATTTCTCCGGGCCCTTTTTACAAGCCCAAAACCTTTAGCATCTATTGGCGCCCTTTTGCTTGCTTTTCCCGGTAGGTCGAATGGTAGCCAGTCCGCCACTGCTAGGAACTGACTAATGACTATAATAAACATTGGCTAGAATATGTTCAAAGAAGAAAATAATTATAAGCATAGTTATTATCAATTAGTATGTTGAAGTCCAGTCCTATTATACAGAGGCATATCACATATGGGATTTGTAGCATTTCGGTGATTTAGCAGAGATTTAATAGAAAGCAAGCCTGTCTGTTTACTTCGGTATTAATGCAGTGCAGGACTTTAACTGACTAGCAAAAAATTAACGGCGGATTCCTCAATAAGTAAGGGTGTCACAACTCATACCCCCTTCTTTGTCAGGCCCCTTAGCAACAGCCAACATGTCTCAACCCAACCCGTGGTCTCAAGGTCTCAACAGTAAGATTTGGCTGGAAGGCGGGAAATGATGCGATAACTTGTTACGAGGAGGCAAAATACTGAATGTTGCATTCTTGCAACAGCAACAACACCATGCACGAGGACCACATTGACCGAGGAGGTCAGGTAGAGAGCCAAAGACTGAAGAAATGTTTCTGCATTCAATTTCAAATGTATTTTAATAACGATATGAACTTAATTTGCACTGAAGTAGCCATTATTGCATTATCGCACTGAAGTAGCCATTAGGAGCAGTATCATGTCTGAGAATGTTTGCTGTATTTTACTGGCTACAATCATAGAAGGTTTGAGAAATATAGTATGAAAATGTCCAAGATGTAAATCTGTCCTGTTTTACGAATAGTTTAAATTTCCGTTAAAAAATCATGCTGAGAGAAGCGACATTCAAAGCAGGGACATGGCTGAAATGCAACTCAACATTGGACTGCTTCAAAATGGCCCAAAGTGTGCATGGAGTGAAGTTACTATTGCCGACGGCCGTGTGGAAGCCACGTTATGCTTGTAGTGATTCAACTCACAATGGAAATGCCACTCTTGACAATGAAAGAAGATTTAATGAAATCAATATTCAAATGTTGTCAAAAACGATTCACCAGCAGATATTCTCAGATAGTGACAGCATAGCTGGAAATGAAGAGGTTTTTTCAAGGATTAAGGAACACTTAACTGCTCATGGGCTGTGGGGAAAGGACTGTACTGTGATTGATGACATCAAGTTGCAATTACCAAAATTTGATGGAAAGAACATCAGTGAACATTTTGAGAATATTGCCAGAAATCAATCTCAAGATTACATGCATCTTGCAAAAAAGATTGCCAGCTCCCAACCCCCACCAATGCCACAATCTTGGTTGTTTGAGACCGGCTGGACAAAATATGAAAAGGACGGCTCAACCAAGAAAGTTTCTTGTCCTGAGGACTCGGCCTTTGTATTTGATGTTGAAGTCTGCATCAATGAAAATGACCTTCCAGTTATGGCAACTGCAGCATCCGAGGATGCATGGTTGGTGTATTTTTCCAGTGTTTTTTTCAGTCTATGGTATAGTTCTCTATGCCATATAAACAGAGTTGTACACTTTATTTGGTGTATAGAACAGAAAGGTTCGATGCTGCTAACCTCTAGTTTCATACTTAATGGGATCATCAAGCAACTGATCTTCCTTCAGGTGCCATTGTTGTTCTAAATTGTTTATTGTGTTGAATGGTGGAAATGTTCAAAAAAAGTGGTTCAATTTTACTAAATTGTAGACACCCCTTCATTATTTAAACTTGTTAGCTTAGGTTCTTGGCTCAGTTCTTGGCAGGAGTAGCTTATTAAGAAAGTCAAGTTTTTTCAGCAGAACCTGTAGCAAAAATTATTGCAATACAAAGCTCCATTTTTACCTTTTTTTAATAAAAAACCACAATTTCGGGGTAAAATGTATTAAAATATTTTCTGGGGCACGGCATGAAACATGGTAAATTGAGTGCCCATATCAACAGTTTTCAATGTAATCAGGGATGCTCCATTGTAAGGGAGAAATCAGTGTATATGTTTTGGTTTCATACAATTCAGTTAGCTATGCTATTATGGTACATTTATCATAAACATCATTCCATAGTTTCATTGGTATCTGACCCTAGTGTATTTAGTATTTTATGATCTGCAATCATTGCGAATTTAACATGGTATGTGGAATTTTGATTTATTCAAAACATACAAAGTGGATGTTTTTATGATTATTCAGAATTTGAGCTGTAAAAATCTTTAGAAATTACATTCTATCCATTAACACTTATTCAGCCCCAGCATATGAAATAATATTATCAAAATATTGTAATTTGACATCATTTACCATAATTTTTACATTTTTGGTTCCAATACCAAGAGCATGTTTTGAGCAAATGGTTGTTTGGCTACTGCTGATGGTCAAATGCTGATAACTTAACTCTCCATTTTCAGCAAGAGATGAGAGGAATAAGAAAACCCAATAATTAATGATTTTTGAGCCAGATTGTTGAATGCAAGCGGGTTTATCAAATGTAACCAGAGACAGATAGTTTTTGAGGTTAATATCAATTAAGCAAGAATCACTCTATCAAGACAATTTATGCATAAAAAGTGTAATTTTTCTCATCTATGTAGTAATCTTCATAGAAGAGCAAATATAATCTTATTGATTGCTTTCTTTCATGAAAATGATCATAGAGCACCCAATGTTGACTCATTTGCAAAATTTAATCCCTAAAGATGACAATTACTCACATTCTGGCATGTTTAGTGATGACATATTTTGTGTTAAGGACAAAAGATAACAACAGCACATGAGAGTCTAAAATTGTGTGCATGATTTTTATTCTAATTTTCAATAGTTCTAGTTGTTTATGTTGTTGTTTAATGTTAATTACAGCTTGAAAGGGACTTGATAAAGTTTAATTTTGCTATATCGCAGTTATTATTTGTTTCAATAGTCCAAAGATTTAGCATTTTCTTATAAGCTAAGTGGAATTGATAAACTTTTTTTGTTGCTGTAAAATTTGAAATATTTTTTATGCTTTTTTTAATAGCTGTAAAATTGCAATGTGACTCTATAGATGCATGAGAACAAAACCTCTTCTTAATACATTTGGTCCTGGATCAAAAGCCAAAATGCCCCAAGCATCAAAGAGCCTAGTAATGGATGTTAAGTAAAAAGAAAAAAGCTGGTGGAAATTGCAATACTGGTGCAATATAAAACACATACCCATAAATTGTCTCTGCTGTGAAGGTGTAGATTCTGATAAGTGGAACCAAACCTTGGATTTCTGAAGAGTTTCTAGTTAAATGCACCCGTAAATCTAAGCAGATTTTTTATCAAAAAATAACCTTAATTGGCTTTTGTTAATTCTAAGCCACTAGAATTATCAAGCAATGCATTTTTATTTGATCTCCTATTTTGCAATAAGTGCTTTTTTATAGAAATACATCTTTGCTGAAGACACTTCCTTTGTCATATAGATTCAATTTTTTCATTTACCCATAGGTACTGCTGGCTTAGTGATGCTCTTATTAACAAGGAAAGTTCACACCAATATACACAGAGAAAGCAACCAAATTTCTTCATTCCCCTGGAAAACAGAGAAAATAAAGAAATTGATAAAAAGCTTGTTATTGGTCACAATGTTGGATTTGATAGGAGCTATGTGAAAGAACAATATTTTCTGGAGGTACCAAGTTCAGTTTTATTTGTTGTTAATTTTTTTTGTATAAAATGAGCTAGCATAAATGGCAGCCATTGGCTTGAATAGAAAAATTTTCATTTAAAAATTTGCATAAACTTTTTGCTCCCAAAAGTATTTGAACAGAAGCCGATGTTGTTGGTACCTATAAGGTACCTATACTATGTAAGGCAGACCTTTGATTTATTATGTTTATTTCCTGACGCTATTGTTTTATTTTCCTGCCAAACATATTTTCTTTTTGCTTACATGGCACAAAAAATTTGAGGTCAATTCATTTCCTATTTGTTCAAATACTTCTGGAATACTTCTTCATGGGTTACTTGCAATGATTCCTTTGTCTATGCAAAATGCATTTTTTAATTAATGTGAGGCTTTGTTAAGTGTTTCTTCAATTTTATGGCTTATAGTGTAGCAATGTTCTGCCTTACATAGTATAGCTATCGTTTTGTCTCTCTTGATTTTCGTACAATTCCTTCAATTAGTGGAAAGAAGTGGTTCAATATAATTTATTTTTTGGTATCTTGACACCCTTTTTCTGTGGCTACAGTAAATACCCTGGAAATACAGAAAATTTCTTCAATGATTCCATTTAGCACTATTTACACACTGAGATAATAATTTTACTATGTCACACATATGGATAATAATTTCACTTGCAAGTGTCTGCATTTTATATAGAGTTAAATTCGGTATATATATTAGATATAAAATGGAATTGCCTAATGATGATATTAAAGGCTCTCGCACAACTGGCACGCTTTGCGACTATAATACAAAAGATGGGCCTAATATCACACTGCATGAAAATACCAAACACAGTCAATTTCTCATGACAACTGCCGCTCAGCATGCCAGTTGTGCAAGAGCCTTTAAGCTTGAAACTAGAGTTGTACCTTAAAGGCTTCCTTTTTTGCATACCATAACATGTAAAGTTCTGTGTACACGGCTTTCAGCTCTGAATAACAGACTAGCAAACTTTTATCTACATTCTGATTTTAAGCTAGCAATATCATAACTCTGAAAATCCTTTTTTTGTTTTTTATTCATTGTTTTCCTCTCAATTTTCATCACTTGTCATGATACTTTATCTTGTGTTTTTATGAAATATTTTTTATGGTATTATAGAATTAGAAATTATCTTTTTAATAGATATCTAGACCAAGATGGCCCATAATCTTACTTGGTGAAACAAATGTTATGTTTGTAAAGGAGTTTATAAGTAGACAACTGTTAAGAATGGATTGTCAAGGGACATAAGACAGAAAAAGTAGCTAGCTAACTACTGATTGTTCACTCAAGTTTTACAGTTTTAGCGATAAGTACTTGCGTAAATCCTAGATTGGCACTCTGTCTTTTTCTCTGTTTGATTTCTGCTAGCGATCGCATTTTTAAAGGAGGATCTAGCTGTTAGGTCACCGCAAGCTAGCCTAACAAACGCGTAAAAATACAACAATAACATAATTAAGAAGCTAACGATAATTGATAAGAATTATAAGATTCTTTCTTTGGTGGAGTGGTAAAACATTTTTTCGTTCGATCACTGCTTTTTGAGCCAATGATTTGTTGAGATCCCGTGTGTTTGAGACAAGTTAGACCTAGTTTAGATGGCGCATTATAGGCGCAGCGAATTGAATCACATTGCCCCGTGAAAAAACTGAGTGTGAATGAAGAAAAGGTCAAGGTAGCTGGCTGCTCGACAGGCTCCAAGGAGTTCTAGAGGCGAAACGTCGATAAAAATGTAGCAAATAGGAAACACCGCAATGCGACGAGAATGAACAACAATAAATACACGTAAATTAATGCCAATTTAATTCGGGTTATCATCGCACAATGTGCTCTCGGTTTAGACGCTGCATTATGAGCGTGATGAATTAAATTGTGTAATGAAAAATCACAAAGGAAAGTTATGATGCGCACTGATTCCAAGTGATTAATTACGGCTACGCATGCATAAATAGAAAAAAACTGCCAAATCAATTGAGGAAATCGAGTCAAAAATGGCTGCTCTTCCAAAATTCTTTCGATTCTCTTTACTTCGATGCCTGTTCACGGAATTGATTTGCGAAAGAAGACACAGATAAATTCTTGGAGGCGCCATTTCAGAAAAATTATGAACTTGGCAATTCTAACTGTTGCCATAGAAACGACAACGCACGCGACAATTTTCCTCGTTAAATTCGCCGTCTAAAGCCCTGGTCAAACGATCCAACATTTCGCCCACTATTTCGCCCAACAATTATTTCGATGTTGGAAGGTGATCCAATGTTGGTTTTCAAACGATCCAACATTTCACCCAACATTTCGCCCAACATTCTCTCGCGCAGATCGAAAAGGGAATGGGTAGTAGGTAATATTGATGTTGCTTAACAACAGTAGGCACACCAGACGTCCACGATGCGCCACATTTCGATCCGAGAAAACGAAAGGCAATCGCCGCCATAGCTATAAATGGTATCAATTGTAAGCAAAATCGAGAATCGAAGCGAGAATCGCAGCGAGATTCGAAGCGAACGAAATCAACCCAAGAAGTCAACAACAATGCTATGATTAAATTTTGGCGGTCTTTTACCAACTACGTGTGCGCAGAGCCAACAATGTTGGCTGAGGTGGTCAAGCGATCCAACATTTCATCTAACACTTCAAAACAAGAGAATTATTGGACGTCGGCAGCCAACACTTTTGACCTCAGTCAAGTTTCGTCCGAAGATGGACGTCAAATCTCGGTACGAGGTTGGCCCAGTTGTTAGAGGCGCTGTCTACAGACCCAAAGGTCTCTGGTTCGAGTCTCTGGCATGACCAAACTTTCACCAAGAGTGAGAAGAGTCGCCAGCTCTCTGTAATTCCAGGCGTAGGAATCACGAGGTGTGGTCACATCGAGAGGAAGGACCAGACACTGCTCGATAAGCATAAACTTCTAAGTGTCCTTAAAACTACCTTCGAATGCTAGTTAGAAACAAATACAAATATAAATTTCGTCCAACATCGAAATTTACGATGATGGGTGACCCAACAAGGTGGTCAAACGATCCAACATTTCGCCGAACATCATTTCGCCCTGAGCTTAATGCGCCGTCTAAACTAGGTCTTATATTTAAAAAACATTATACCTTTTATGAGTTTAAATAACCTAAAAGTTTAAAAACACACTTAAATATTCATGGTATATTATTAGCAACGCGTAACTGTGTTTTTGAATATAGTTGTTTAAACCCAATAAAAGTATGAAGTAACCTAAATACAATTCGCTTTAACATTTTTTATTAATTGTGCGTTTTTAATTAATTTCAGAAGTCGCAGGTGATGTTTTTGGATACGCTGAGCATGCATATGTGTATTTCTGGACTGACGGGTATCCAGCGCATTTTAATAAATTCGAAAAAAGCAAAAAAGGCAGATTGGATGGACATAGGATCATTGAATAATCTAGTAGACGTTTATGCTTTGTACACAAACAACGGTGTTCTCAGCAAGACGATCAAGGACCTTTTCGTGGAAGGAACACTTGCTGACATTCGTGACAACTTCCAGGTATGTATTTCATTGCATTATTTGCTGTAAACATCCTTGCACATTATTGTTATCACACTATCTTTACTTGTTTTTCTTTCTGTATACATTATCCCTGATTACCAAGTTTTCCATTCGTTAATCATCTGTGGTTATAAAGTACATAGTCAGCAATTAAGTACATATTGAACCTCACAGGTCTCAACCAGTTAGGTCCTGTTCTGTGGTTACGTCATATAACGTAGAAGAGATTTGTAGGTACTGCTAATCGTCCGTCTTTTTTATATTAGGACCACTGACTGATCTTGATACTTGAGCTTTCTTGCTGCCAATGCAAGCATTGTTTAAGCAGGCGAATTCACTCTCTACACTGCACCAACTTTGCAAATAATCCATATATATGCATCCTCTTCTTTCTGTGTTCATTCTGATTGCCCGGACTCTAAAGCCAATTCGCCATGGCGCTTAAAATAACACCTGTTGCTTGTTGTTTCTTGTCCTTGAACTTTTACTCGTAACGATACTGTACCCAGTTCTTTCAATATATTCACTTTTAGTTGCCTAATGGTCGCATTAAGTGTGAAACTCGGAGTAGCAACGTAGATACGTCCTCTCCTATACAATCGAATTGTGTACAGCTCTGCCCATATGGCATCGAACACTTTATGTCAGACCGGTAACTAGTAATTTGCATCACTTATAGTTTGTATAAACCTAAAATGTTTGTAACAATTTAGGAATGTGTTGGCTACTGCGCCAAGGACGTTCAAGCAACATTCGAAGTGTTTACAAACATGTGGCCAGAGTTCCTCAATCACGTGCCTCATCCCGTGACTTTTGCAGGGATGCTAGAGATGGGGACCTCATACCTTCCCATTGATGACAGTTGGGAGCGGTACATCAAAGATTCAAATGAGGCGTATGATGATTTGGAAAATGAAACGAAGACAATCTTGATGAAGCTCGCCGAAGACTCGTGCAGACTTATTCACAATAAAAGGTGCTTTGATATTTAACGTGATATTTTAGAAGAAATGTGTTCTTTTACTCTTTGTTGTTATTTCGAGCGAAAATAGAAAAATCATCAAATTTTATAAGAAGTGAACTCCGTATTACTTGAAATCTTGGGTATAGACAAGTATCACATTACGTCATTCTCTTGGTCTGTTGTTCATTAGTTTATGAATCTTTCCAGCAGTTTTCTCTGCTCTCTCTTTCCCATGTAAACACTGTCTTGAATTTCCTGGCGTTTCGAATGATATAGTGATTAAATGAAAATCTTGGCTGTAGATAAGGGGGTGGTAAATCGCGTAATATTACGGGATTATAACAACAGATTAAAATTCTCTTTTGAAATTTCCAGTCATTCTCAGTTGTACATATAATTATAGGTATCAAAAAGACCCTTGGCTTTGGAGCTTAGACTGGTCAGTGCAGGATCTGTCTTTGAAGAAAGAGAAACCAAAAAAGAAAGCTAGAAAATCATCAAAAGGGACGGCAAAAGATGAGTTGAAAGCAAGCGAGGAGCCTTGTAAGATTTCTAGAATCAAGACTCTCGCTGTCGATGAGCTGCTGGAGGAGGATATTTCAGACTGGTACCCAGATCTCCCCCTGGCCGATGACGTTCTGTACAAAAGGAGACAGCATATGGTTGGGTTTCCGAGGTATGTAAAGTCATTGTATTGCATTAGCCGAGCTGTGGTATGGATTTTAACAGGTTTTGCAGCAATCAGGACAAAATGTCAGTTGATACGTTATAAGAGTTAGCAGTATATTGACGTTCCTACATTTGTCTTTTCTCTGCTTTCTAAGGATCTGCTGTAAATTGCCTGTGAGACATTCTTTTCTTTAAACATACGCTTATAGCATTCTCTGCTCCAAAGAGAAGTTGCTGTTAAAATCCACCGAATCAAGTGTTGATGGCTGCAACACCTCTCCCGTTTCTCTTCCATAATAGTAGTGGATTTCTGACAAGACCATCAGCTGGGAATATCGATCGACCTGAATGGGCAAAGCAGTGTTTCTATTGACTGGGGCTGTGTTTATCGGCTTCAGCTGTTATTCTCTTTACATTGGGAAAATAGTTAAACATTAATTCAAAGTTTGTCATTGCTATTGGTAGCTTTTCAGATATAAACCACAAATTGTGTATTTGCGAATATTTGTTACGTGCAGACTTTTTATATTGCTTTAAGCTGTACTAGACATATTATATGTCCCGCCTACATTTAAATCTGATGTATAATTGTCACGAATAGTATATTTGATTTAGTTGATCGCTGAGCTTTTAAGGGAATGTTTGTCGTTTTTCTGATCCTCGCCTTCGAACCATAAACGTTACATATTGGATAAAATTATTAAGAGAATGTACAATAAAACCCTATATTATCAGCAGGACTTAAAGTCAAAAGTCAGGCCTTTTTGATACACGTTGTTTAAAGGAATCATTCCTTAATTTTGTTCTGTAAAACAGAAGTATTTAAAAATATATTCCTATATCATATACAATTAGATACTTTTAAAGCTGGTCCTGTCACATAATTTATTGGAAACGACCAAAAGCCAACTCTTAAAAATACATCACTCAGTTTTTAACTTCTTTTAACACGTTCGAGCAGATAATTTTAAAATAGGCTCCTTTGAACTTTTACTGAGTTGATTGCACACCCTCGTGACTTTGTTTTAGGTATTGGAAACAAATCGTTATTCTGTTACTGCATACCAATCGTTCTTTTACCTCTATCTCTATAATTTTTTAAACAAGTATGTCGTTTTATCGTTTACGAAGTAACAGACATCAGACGCTCGGTTATTTTAAGAGTGTTCGTTTATGATGACGTTAATGATCACGTCTATGAATAGAACAGTTTCCAAAACAGATCTTTGCTGCATTTTATATGAATTGGTTCATTTCTTAATGATTTTTTTTTAATTTCTATCCATTTCATGCAACTGCTCAGATAACTTTTTTATTAGTTTAAGGGCTGTTCTGCCGAAGCCAGGAGCTACTATGAGAAGATCCTAGTCCTATGCAATATACAGTTCCACGAGGTTCCGGAAACTTGACAGAAAAATCCTCGATTTCGGCGTTTATAATCTACATAACTGCCAACAAAGTTTTTATAAAATTCTGCGTTAAAATGTATGACTTCAAACCAATTTTTTAAAGTTTGAGTTGATACATTTTATGAGACCATATCTCGTATCACCTTATCTGGTACAGTCGTATGCATATGATCGGGTCAATAAATGTTTCCTATTCGTTTAGCGCATTTAATGCCTTTTCAATGACTCAGAAGAGTGCATCTAGGCCAATATAATTGCAGAAGGGAAAGGTGGAAGAGATAAATGAGAAATATGTTGGTATGGTAACATCCAAGCGTTTTCTTTGAAAGGCTAGAACTAAATGGCGATTGTATTTGAAGCATCAAGTATCAAATCAAAGTGTCTATCAAAGTTGTTGGCATTTAGCAAGTTTGTTTTTGGCTTTCAAAAAAGCAAACATTTGAGTAAACTAAAGCTTTTCGCCTGACACTCTTCAGAGTTTAAACAGCATGTTCCGTCTAGTATTAGAACAAGACGCATCCCCAAAGAGAACAGCCACCTCGGTCTTGCAGATCTAAAAGTACAACTAAAACCTGCGATTCTGCTATCGGGCAGTATTTACTGGAAAACCCATATTGTGCAAAAAACTATAATGGCGACATGTTTCGTATTATTGGTAAAGCCCGATCGTCGTTCAATCTAGCAGTTTTGGAATCTATTTACATAAGCACGAAAAAACCGCTACTGTGTAGACAAAAGGAGTTCGTTTTCACCTTAGGACTCCATTGGTAACATTCTCAGTAGGCAAGCGGCACTGATTGGTCAACCTTAAAAGTCATGTGCTCGCGTTTCTGATTGGCCTATTTCGATCCACAACTGGGTATATATATTTCCTAGCGTAGAGTTTTCGGTCTATGTTCTGACGTTTAAACTCTGAAGGGTGTCAGACGAAAAGCTTTAGTTTACTCAAATGTTTGCTTTTTTCAAAGCCATTTTCAACTTTTGTACCACCAAAAGATTGTTTGCAAATTTGTTTTTCCATGTTTCGAAATTTCACCAGGCCCCAATTTGGCTTTATCACTTGCTTTGCTTTTCTTTTTCAGTTGGTACAGAAAATTATGCCCAAAGATGTCTGATCCAGAGTGGGAAGCAGGACCGTCTCTGGTCAGCCCCCAGACTCGATACGCACCAATCTTGCTTCGGCTGACATGGGACGGATTTCCGCTCTTCTTCAGTGGGAAATACGGATGGGGGTACCTTGTGCCTGATCGTCATGACAACTTGGATTCCCCGCCATATGATCCCCCGCCAAGTCAGACGGCTAAAAAAAAGAAAGGAGCTGTTCTTGTTGGACCTGACGCTTTGGATCTGGATGAGCCAGGAGAAAATGTTCTGGCTAAAGATTCCGTGTTCCCTACGGAGTAAGTTTTCATATCTCCAGAAGATCATTTTAATTGTCTCTTGATTTCTCTTTGTTAATATGTAAAATGTCTTTTTTATGGATTTGAATTCTGCTTTTTTCAACAAACTGATCAGGTGAATTTCTCATCAATTTATTATGACCAGCTCTTTTCTCAACCCAAATGTGTATTATATTTTACAGGTCATTTTGCGAAGCGCCATTTCGACAACGTGTTGGCACAGCCCACATAGAAAGCCTTTCTGACGAGGAGATTATGAAGCTGGATGAAGAAGAGATACGGAGTTTGGAAGAAGGCTCCTCCACGAGAGATTGTTCAATGCATGACGGGATAGGACCTTTCAATGAAGTAAACTTGCCTGGTGTTTGGTTTTACAAAATGCCTCATAAGGTCAGTATTGCCTGCCCGCAATATTCGATTAGTGTGTTTTTACTTAACGTAATAGCAATGTACATGGCTATATTATGACAATCAATGCCATGAAGATTTTTGATGTGATAGCAATGCCATTTGCTAGGTGAGACTCTAGAATTGGGTTTCATGCTAATTTAGGTTTGACTATAAATTTTAATGAATAATTTTTTTACAGTTGGCAACGAGATCTAGCATTAAGCTAATTTAAGCCAACTATTTGTAATGAATATGAAAAGAAATTATTTATAAAAAATCAAATTTGTATGCAATTAATGCTTTGGTTAATCTACAACTGCACTTGAAGTTTTCTAAAGATCCTCTTTAATTTCAATAGGTACCTTTTCTCATACTTTTTGACATTAAATCTAATGGTCTCTCTGCCATATGTTGTTATTCTTGCACTGGGCAAAATAATGTTGCTTTTTGCTCGAAATTCATATTTTTGGTTTCTAGTAACAAAAAATCGTTCCTAAATGCTGGATTTAGGTTTTTGACAGTTTTATATATCTCGATTAAGAGCAGTTGTAATTTTCTCTGGTGAATAGACACTGATTTTGCTATCTTTGCATCTGATTCGAAAAGCTCGTTCATGAATCTTGTTTATTTTATTATTTATTCTTCTATCGTGGAACATCCATACAAGTGGGCAATAACTAAGATGAGAAATTATAAATGAGGTCATTGTTAGAGCTAGTTGAGGTGTACCATCAATGTTGATATGTGATTTAGAGCATGATGTTTTTGACTGGCTTTTTTGCAAAGGTTATCAGCATGAGATTGAAAACTTAACTTTTTTTAAAGTTACCCCAAGAGGAGTAAATCCGGTACTTTATTTTACCACAGACCCACATTTATTTACAGAGACTTCAAAATGGGTAAACTGGGGTAATTTCACACGCTGATGACGATGCCGAACAGACACAAGCCGAAAAATGTCCCCAAGTGCTATTTTTAGACTGGGGTACTTGGCCCCATTCCTCGAATTGAGCCAATCTCCATATGTCATTACTGATTAATGAAAAAGTGGGAAAAGAAAGATTTAGGTGCATTATCATATATTAAGATATATTAAGAGAAAAGGAAATGAAAAATTGCCCCTTTATGCTATTTTTAGAATACGAAATTGGTACCCATGTCTCTATTTAGGCATTAATCTCTGAATAATTACTCTCTTTTATATGAATATGAAATGTAGCTTTCTCCATTCTTTCAACAAACTGAAAATTAACACGAAAACATGTAATTGACAATCTTACCCCTTGATGCTATTTTAAGAATGGGGTACTGGAACCCAGTTCTCGAATTTGGGTTTTACCTTCATTGTCTAGGCTCTAAGCACAGTATTTGACATGAATTGTGCAAATTGTGGTACCAGCATGAAAATGGGTAAACTGGGGCAATTTGACACGTCGATAATGATACTGAACAGACACAAGCTGAAAAGTGCCCCCAAGTGCTATTTTTAGACTGGGGTACTTGACCCCAGTCCTCAATTTTGGATTTCATCCATACGTAGTTAACTAAAGTTTAAAATGGGCGTGAATGTATAGGTTTAAACACAATTTTTCACGATAAAAGTATAACAAAGAAACAATGTTATCCTTTGATTCTATTTGTAGATTAGGGCTGTTGCCTCTAGGCCTCTATGTAAACACTCTCCTACAAGCCCTTCTTTCTTTTGACGTAAACATGATAGTATAGCTGTCTACCTTTTTGGTTAACCAAACAGTATTTTTAGAAAAAAGTAGAATATTACTTCTAGATGCTACAAATGATAGACCCACTTTTTAGACTTGTTTCTTTTGTAAGTTATTAATCATTACTGCTTTTAACATAATAAGTCTAGCATTCTATACTTTGTGATACACTAAAATCTGACGGAGAGATAAAATTCCGCCTAGTATCTCTTTGCTGAATGGAATATTTAGATCCAAGCTCATTCGACTTTTTCATCTACTGTTAAATATCGCTAATTTTGATGTAAATACTAAAGTGTACCTTCATACAACTTTTCAATCATCAAAAAATATTATGAAAAAACGCAGTTAATATATGCATAAAGCGATTTGTTTAAATATGTACGCGTTTCCTGCCTCTGAAGGTCAATGCAATTTATCACATGTACAGGAAAATGTGACTTTCTCATTTCGCTACTTCTGAAAGTCTCATACAATTTGTATAAAATGCTGACTATCCAAAGTAGCAGAAATGTTAAGTACCCTTACTGAACTTTCAAACTCGAATATATTCGGAGGGGCGAAGATCGTTATAATTATAGGCTACTTTCAAATACGATTGATGTTATATTGGCAGCTAGCGCGAGTAGTTTGTATGACAAAGGCTAAACATCTAAGGTACAATCTAATGAAGGGCACTTAGGAACATGTGGAAATTTCACTCCCTTATTGCTTTAACTAGCAACAATAGCATTGACTCTAACAGTAAACCAATAATAGAATTGCACTGATTCTTCTAGCCTCTGTGTTTTCCAAACTTCAATAGGTAGTACTTCTATGCTTTTCTTGAAGGCCTCTGAGAGGAGTAGTAGCAATCCAGAGATTTAATATTCACTTTATTTCGTATTCATACCAAAAATACTAATGATTTATAAAAGAAAGCTTATAGAGGCCTGGGCTCCAGTAGTCAATTCTAAATATAGCATCAAGGGTAATATTTTAATTGTTTCTGTGTTATACTTTTATCGTGTAGAATTGTGTTTAAACCTATACATTTACGCCCATTTTAAACTCTAGTTAACTCAATATGGATGAAATCCAAAAATAGCACTTGGGGGCACTTTTCAGCTTGTGTCTGTTCAGCATCGTCATCAGCGTGTAAAATTACCCCAGTTTACCCATTTTCATGCTGGTACCACAATTTGCACAATTCATGTCAAATACTGTGCTTAGAGCCTAGACTATGAAGGTAAAACCCAAATTCGAGAACTGGGTACCCCATTCTAAAAATAGCATCAAGGGGTAAGATTGTCAATTACATCTTTTCGTATTACTTTTCAGTTTGTTGAAAAAATGAAGAAAACCTCATTTCATATTCACATAAAAGAGAGTAATTATTTAGAGAAGAATGCCTAAATAGAGACATGGGTATCAATTTCATATTCTAAAAATAGCACAAAGGGGCAATTTTTCATTTCCTTTTTCTCTTAAAAGTAATGTGTCCATATAAAAGGACTGCGTATACCCAACTTGTCAAGCCACTCATTAAAATAACGGCTTGCGATTGGTTAGTATTCTTGCGATGCAAAACTGCTCACATGAAAAGCTAACCTCGCAGCAGGGTAAATAAACAGAACGACCGTAATGGCTGGGGCGATGATATGAAAAATCACATGTTCCTGAAAACTCCCACAGAGCCACTTGCTTTAGCTGGACACATTACCTTTAATATATTTTAATATAGGATAATGCACCTAAATCTTTCTTTTCCCACTTTTTTCATAAATTAGTAATGACATATGGAGATTGGCCCAATTCGAGGACTAGGGCCAAGTACCCCAGTCTAAAAAATAGCACTTGGGGGCATTTTTCGGCTTGTGTCTGTTCGGCATCGTCATCAGCGTGTGAAATCACCCCAGTTTACCCATTTTCATGCTGGTATCACAATTTGCACAATTCAAGTCAAATACTGTGATAAGAGCCCAGACTATTATCTTTCATAAGAAGATAACATACTGCTTCTGTCATTTTCATGTAATTATTCTAAGATCATGGAGATAAAAAGCAAGCATCCTTTCAAGTGATTCTAACAATACGAGAAGATCGGATGCACATTGAAAGATAGGAGTATCATCCGCATAATTACATAAATCAGTATCTTTCACCAGATAACAAATGTCGTTGATGTAGATATTGAAGAGCAGGGGGCCTAGCTCTAAGCCTTGTGGGACGCCCAACGGATGTCTTTTTTCAAGTACTGACTACTTGAACTCTTTGCCGCCTTTCATGCAAATAGCTTTGTATAAGATTAAGAGCGCCTTTGCTGAAACCATAGTCAGTTTTTTCTATTGACTATGCTGAAACCATATGCTGGAACTTTGCTATCAGGTGTTTATGATTGAGGAAGCCAAAAGCCATGAAAAGATCCGTGAAAACCGCATAAGCATATCCTTTTTTATCTAGGGATGACTTGCATCTCCAAAGAAGTCTTATAAGTGGCTGCTGTGTATTGAAGCCTCCCCAAAAGGCACAAAGATATTTAGATAAAAAGAGATCAGAAGAAGGCCCAATTGCTCTTTCATCATACGCTCATAAACTTTTGATCTTGGAGATAGAACAGTTATTGGACGATAGTTTCCTTTTTGCAATGAATCCAGCTTCTTAAGGGCAGCCGCAACAGTGTCCTCTTTTCATTCAGAAGGAGACATTTCGTTATTTATAGAATGGTTGAAGAGATTTTGTAATATATCAGAAAAAATATCAGAACATGTTTCACCCTCTTAGTAAGCATACAGGATTTAATTTTGAGTAGTTGTGCTTCAATTAGAGTCTAGAATGCTATAGTTCATTTCGAAAGGAAATGAGTGATTTCGATTGTCTTAGAACGGAGAACAGTTCAGATGTGGAAATCCTTTAGGAAAAGACTACCTTAGCAAATTGGAGGATGGGACGCTTGCATCATCTGGGGGCCACAATGCAACGCGTACTTTGCAGAACAACAAAATGATATCATTTTGGAGGAATGCACAAAAACGAATATGGTGCGCTCTCTCACTTCTTAGTCGTTTTAACGTTAAAATTCGTTATATACAGAAATAGCGTCAATTCAGAATTTAATGTCGGTGCTAACTTTTTTACTCAAGTTTGAAATTTTTATTTGCTTGTAGAACTCAAATAGAAAATCGCGACTGTTTAAGAAAGTATAAACTTTTCTTGTTTGCCGCCCTTTGTCTTATTTTTACGAAAAGTTCCATTGCATTAATAAATTTCGATTTGTTTGTAGCTCACAGATGACTGTACATTTGAATGACAATGAAATCAATGAGACCATGAAATGGTAAGAGGAAATGTTTTGCATTTTAATAAAGATGTATATTTAAGTTGTAAAAGTTTGAAAATGGCTTTGAAAAAAGCAAACATTTCACAACATACTAAAAGCTTTTTCGTCTGACACTCCTCAGAGCATAAAACGTCAGAATCAGGGTCCGAAAGAACACGATGGAAAGTATATACCCAGTTGTGGATCGAAATAGGCCAATCAGAAAAACTCTGTACCGCAAAAAAATTGTTTATAAAAGTTTGGACCTTTCTTAGTTCATCAGATTCTTTTGTTGTCATAAATTGGGCAATAACGAGGTAAAGAAAAAATTTTTGACGCGAAAAACATTCAAAATTTTTATTTTTGGTTGAAAGAATATTTGACGCTAAAACAACCCTGAAACACACAAAGATTCACGAGGATAATTGTTTTCAAAGATCAAGAAAAACATCGCTTGTCAAGCTGAAAAATTATTGAAAATAAGCAGGACTGGTTACAAATAATCTGTTGTTTTCTAATGTTTCAATTTTCGCCTTCGATATTTGTTTTTTTTCTTTTATAATTTTTTTTCCTTTTCTTCAAACTGACGTCAGCCATAAAGACTACGATCCAGATAATCATTATGGCGCCATTTTGCCAAAGGTAATAACAGCCGGGACTGTTACAAGGAGAGCTGTTGAGATTACCTGGCTAACCGCGAGTAACCCGCGGGTAAGTGCATTTTCTACATCCGAGCCCTAGTTACAGCATAGTCAATAGAAACAGTTTTTCAACCGTTCTGACAAAAAAGAGCCATTTACTAATAAACATCGCTGCATTTTATAAGCTTATTGCATGATATTAACCAATTATTTGCAATGTGTTATTATTTTATAAGATTAAGGACAATAAAGCATCCTTCTATATTGATTTATTCATTTTCTTTGTGTCTATCGTGAGTTTTTTGTGCTTGTAGTTAGGACAAAGAGGATGAAAAGGAACAGTAATGAGATACTAGAGATGAAAATGTATGTTTAAAAATGCAATCGACATTTTATGATGCACTACCTCTATATGGTGAGAAGAAAGCATCCATTTAAATGTTTGAAATACATTAACTTTCAGGTTCATCTTTTACTTTTTTTCTATTCCTCTTATTTTCAATAAAATGGCCCAGTTCCAAGAGGACAGCCTGCCCTTTTAGCTGTTTTAAAGTCATTCTGAAAGGACTTTCATTTCTGCTTTCATTCCATCTCTATGTTCGGATTCAGGCAGACAGAGTCGGGTCTGAATTAAAAGCAATGGTCCGCTCGCCGCCCGGCTATTGTTTTGTTGGTGCAGATGTGGACAGTCAAGAGCTGTGGATTGCCTCTATCCTTGGTGATGCCAAATTTGCCGGCATTCATGGTATGGAATGTTCACTATCATACTACTTATACAATGCAAACTCAAGGCAAGCGGGGTCACTCCCCCCCCTCCCCCCGCCCCAGGAGTTTTTTCTAAAATACGATATCAAGGTTGTGGCATCAAAGATGGTGGCAAACTACCAAAGAAGTTTTCCAGCTGGTCTAGAGGTCCCCTCTTCCCAGAATGTTCTTCGGCATCCCTCATTTTGGCCTCAAACAAATTATTTCCAAAATTATAGGCAATTAAGTAACTCCAAACTTATAGGTAAATGCAGAATATTCCGCTTGCTACTGCTGATATTTCGCTGTTTTCTTCGCTGTGTCACTTCGCTGTTTTCGTTTTTCTATCGGCCGCCGGCCAAAGGGAATTACGAATAACATCTTATGTTGATAACATCTTTCAGAAGGGATCTTTCCATAAAAGAACAGCTTGAAAAACTGTTTATCCAAAAAATAGCAACTTGGAGAGGGATAATTTCCACAAGGAGCCACTCACAAAGGGTTTTTTCAGCACGGGAAGATGTTTAGAATTGAAACAGATGTTATAAATAGTACATTTATAATATCGCTGTATGGGTCATATTACTTTGCCTAAATTTTCTACAAGTCTATCATCTCTATGTTATTTTGTTGCTTTTATCTCTTGCCAATTGTAGTAAAATAATACCTTTTTGATTTTGTATATTTCATTTGATGCCACAGGTTGCACGGCCTTTGGGTGGATGACGTTGCAAGGAAAGAAGTCCGATGGAACAGATTTGCACAGCAAGACAGCGAACACGATTAAAATTAGCAGAGACGACGCAAAGGTAACGGGCTTTATAAAATGCAAAATCGACTGCTTTTATTGGAGGAGTTGGTGTGGCGCAGAATGCATCTCTTTTCCTAGATACAATTTTATCTTTATAAAAGAGTTAAATATCTTCAAGTGAATATCTCAAAAAAGGTTCATAGTTTTTTTTCAATGTGTGTACAGAATTTTTATTTTTAGATGTTGATCAAAAGATCCCCCATTCCCTCAGATCTTCCAAATCTCCTCTCTTCCCAAAATCTGTTTCTTGGTTTCTTGGTTTTCTTGTAGCCGAGAAATAGGCCATGATAATAACTGCATAACGTCAGGTGATACACGAAAGTGGACTATTCACTACATTGCAATGGCATAACTTTTGTTTAATGCTTTTATTTAACCTTTCGTGTTTTTTAATTTATCTTTTTGGTTTTAGATTTTAAATTATGGTCGAATCTATGGTGCTGGGCAACGGTATGCAAGACAGTTGTTGATGCAGTTCAATCACCGTTTGACTGAAGAAATGGCGATGGAAAAAGCAGCACAGTTGTACAAAACCACAAAAGGATCTATAAGGTGGGGGAGGGCAGTTGTTTCATTTTCTTGTTATTACTCTTAGCTTTTTCGGTGAAATGGAAAGATTTAAATGAGAGCCAAGGAGACTTCTGCAGTTGTTAATGATCCTGTTAATGATTCTTGAACACGTCAGTCAGGTGCCAAATATCGTTTGAACCGATAACAAAATGGGTAGCCTTAAAAAATGGGCAATCTGACAATACGTTGATCTGCATTGAAAAACAGGATCAGTTGCTCTCAATGTTATTATTCTTTGCTTGACAACGTGACTCCACTTTTCTACAAATCAATCGTTAGCCATACAGAATAGAAATTTTTTTTCACTTTCAGTAAGCAAAATAAAATCATTTTTCCGATTCGGGTGTTATTTTCACCTAAAATATTGTAAAACCTCATCAGAAAATAGAATGTTGGAAAACCAAAATGAAAGAATGATCTGTGATCTCTTTTAGAGAGATTTTAGATTTTCAGATTTTTTGATAGCCGTTTCTTAAAAGACAAATCAAGTGTGCTTAAAATGCAGCCTATTGCCAAAGGGTTAGCAGAATGTTATTGGTTTTTTTATCAACGATCTTCACTTTTATTTCATGGCAATGATGGTTCTGATTGAACGTTCAGAGGTATTTTTATACATTATAAAGACATACTAAATGTATACTTTGAACTTGGTGGAATTTTCCTTGCTTTCTTGAGAATTTTAACGAGAGTAGTTCTTTTTGACACCTGAGATTTTAGGACATCTCGTTTTTATTTCAGTTTTTATTTCAAGTAATTATCGAGTTTCTTAAAAGATTCGACTAAACAAGATTTTCGTCATTTCAGCTATGAGTTATCTAGTTTTGGCAAAGAACTCGCAAATAAGCATGGTATTCCATTCTCAGACGACGGCTTCCTTGATTCAACGGCGCTCAAAACAATTTTAAGGAGATCTAGAATCCCACGGTAAAGATGTTTTTTGGGTTTATGATTAATCGTACCTCGCATTTCCAGTTTTTAGACTTTATTCGATTTTACATGATCATTTATTCGATGTTTTCGTGTTACATTTAACGTGCTAGCAATATTTTAATAAATGAAAAGCTGAGTACTGAAAGCTGAGTCTTGTGGATCTCATATAATGAGTTTATCTATGTGCCACTAAGGCCAATGTCCAACGTTGCTCCTCTTTTGTGTTGCTCGTCATCCACATAATTCAACATTAGATTTTGGGCATAAGAAGAGCCCGTCTGACGGAAGTTGCCCCATAATCACATGTGCGGCTGCTCCAGGTTGATTCTGATGCATCCTATTACTTCAACTACCCCTTGAATCACATGACTGATGTTCCTTGATTCACTTGAAAGCTACTCGTTCACTCGTATGATTGCTTCTTTCTTGATTCGCATGATTGCTACATCTTGAATCACGTGATAGCTACTCCTTGATTCAAATGATTACTTCTTTCTTGATTCGCATGATGATTGCTACTTTTTGATTTACATAATTGCTACTCCTTGATTATTATATTTTCTTCATGATTCACTTGAGTGAAACTTTTTTATTTTAATGATTGCGTCTCTTTGATTCACATGGTCATCTAAATTCTAATTTTTACTACCCTTTGGTTGACATGATTTTTCCGTCGTGATTAACTTGATAACTTCAAGGTCGATCATTTACAGTCAACATGGGTCAGTAGTACTCAAATCAAGGTGATCTGTCATGCGCGGTCCCTCGGGGGTCTATTCTTGGTCCTCTCATATTCTTTCTATGTGTGAATGACATGGCACGGGCTGTCGTTATGCAAATGGTTCTTGCTTAATTTTTTAAAGACAAAAGCATTGAGCAAATAGAGAACAGTTTGAATAGAAAATTCAATTCACTCTGTGATGGCTTTTATACATTACAAACATTTTTCTGGCGCATTATGTATACATACACACATTTTACCCCTTGCCTGTCTGCATTTCTGTTTCAGAGGAAGAGAGAGACAGGTTGCGATCAGGAGGTGGACAAAAGGAAGGTTTGTTCTCTTTTTTTCACGTTATCAGCTGTTATTCAACCTAGGAAATATATTTTGGTGTTTTGTCTTTTCTGTTCTTCTTCAACAGCTACCGACTACGTTTTTGTGAATTTTTTTCAGCGAAAGCGAGATGTTCAATATGCTTGAGGACATCGCTGTGTCGGAGGAGCCGCGAACCCCCGTCCTTCAATGTAAAATAAGTCGCTCTTTAGACCCTGGGGTCGTGAAGGACGAGGTCAGTTTTAGATGAGACATTATTGATTGATTTCATGTTCTAGGCCTGACATAATCAAGGTCTCGTTTATCGAATGATAGGATCGCTTGCCCACATTTATTGACCATGATTGACTGAAAAGCACTGTATTAGCTAATTCACCAGTTGACAGAAAAATTGGCCTTATGATTTGGGGGATTTTCGCTTTGTATAGATGATGTGTTACAAAAATTCACCATGTTTTGTTACCCATGGGTGGTACTGTGTTTTGAAAGCCTGCCGCTGAAAAACATTTGTTTTCTTTTTTAAATCTTTTTTGCAACCCTTTCTTCTAAAATCGCTTTTCCAAAGCACTTTTAATCAAAGAACAGTTGAAAGCAAAATTTTAGTCTTGTTTGTTATTTTGTTGCTTAGAAACTCGTACTGAGATGTTGCCCCATTTAGAATGTGAAAGGGGATTATTCTCCAAAAAGGTCAAATAGGATTATTGTTTGTTTATCACTTTATTCCTATATATTCACAGGTTCACTCAAGCCTTACGTTATTTGATGGTGAATTTTTTCATAGCAAATTAAACATCAACACCCACATTCAGAATTTACTATCTTTAATTACATTTTTCCTAAAATGGGGCCTTGAAACCAGAGGATTTACTGACCAGGAAAATCTAGATAGGCCAAGCCAATCTTGTTTTTTTGCTTGGTAATCCTACCACAGCAATGTCAAAAGGGACATATCGGCTGCTGTTATTGCATTTACCTTTGTTTAGTCCGCATGTGATGAAGATAGATCATTTCGTATGACAGCCGATTTGCTACATTGCCAAATCGCGATTTTCAACAAAGCTGTAACTGTAAACAGACTGCAGTGCTTGATACTTTTGTCAGATTTAAGTGAAATCGGAGACAACTGTTTTCGGCCTCAAACCAAAACAGAGAAACTTCTAGGCTTCGCCAAGTTGTATTTGTCATATATCAGTTTCTGACCTCAACAAAGGCTCCTGATTCATCTGATTCGATAAGCTTAGAAGAACTAAGCTGTCGATCGATGGGCAGAAGAGCTCTTATCCTAAAAGAGCTCTACCCTCTTATTGTTGATGAATTATGTTTCTTATCAATTAATTGTTTATTTTTCTTAGTTGTCATTATCTCTGGAATCTTTGCCTGAACCATTTTGTTATTTTTATTGTGACCGTTTCTATCTCTAGTTCATCACGAGTCGTTTGAACTGGGTGGTGCAGTCATCTGCTGTTGACTATCTTCACCTGATTCTTGTTTGCATGAAATGGCTCTTTGCTGAGTTCAACATACAAGGCCGTTTCTGCATCAGCATTCACGATGAGGTAATATTCAAGCATCTTGTCATCTTGATCCTGTCATTTTCATCATATCATTTGGCGATTCTGATGCTCTTTCCGTAAAAGCTTAGGATTTTATTCTGCAAAATTAGTATGTTATCCTTGTTAGTAAGTATGCATTGTTAATGATTGTATTGTACATTTTACGATATAAAACTTTGAAAACCTGTCAAGGATTTGGCGGCCAAATCGTTAATTTTTTCATTTCAAACAAATTTATACTGGGTTGCAATTCAGAATTTACTATCTGCTTTACAAATGGCCCTGTGAAAAAAGCCAATTTGAAATATGCATTTATTTAAACTAAATATATAATAACAGTCTAATTCATAATACAAAATAGTAAAGAAACGAAGATAAGAACGGATATATTTCACGTTAGATACCCGCGTAAATTTTCAATTTAAATTGAATGCAGTGGATTGAGGGTGCGAATTTTTTTTGTCTGAATCGTTCCAAAATTTGGCTGCAGGATAGGCGAATGATTTTTTGTCCCATAAGTATTCACATTCTGGTATTTGTAAATCAGACCCAGTGCTGCGTTGTACACGAGTATGGAAACCTGACAATTTGGAAAACAACCACTTAAATATTCCGTGGCTAGATTGTTCAGACATTCATAGGCTGTTTCTGACGTTTCTCAGTGATTAAGACTCCCGATTGTAGGCCACACCAATTCTTGTATCAGAGTGCTGCAGAAGTATCAAAATACTCTGTGTTTACCATTCTTGCTGCCCTGTTTTGCATTTTTTGTAATTCATCCGACCTGGTGGTCCCACAGGAGCCCCATGCCGAGCAACAATAGATGAGACGAGGCTCTAGAAAACTCTTATATATACTATTCAGAATGGTACATAGAACATATCATATTTCATATATCATATATTTTTGGCCTATTTCAGGAGGCGAGAGCTCGCGAAGTTTCAGATTGGTTTTTCTTGATTTGTGGCTGTCCCCTTTAAAGTTATTGTCAACCATTATACCATTTTGTTTTGTTTTATTTTCTAACTTTGTGTAATTGCTACAAAATCATTATTAAGAACACAAAACGTTGGTGTATGCTAAAAGGTTGTTCCTCAATCTGAATCCGAAGTCATTAATTTAGTACAATGAACGTTTTTTAAAGCGAATTCATTCATTTAATTAATGTATTTGTGTAGTTTGCTGGTAAATGGATAGCTTTCTAGATATTAAAACAGAAAGTAACAGTTTTTGGCATCAAAAAAGTAAACTTAGTTTCTTGCTATCCCTTTAAACCTCTCAATACATCATTAATGCTATGAAGTTCTTTAGCAGCATTAGGTGAAGACTTTTAGTCCAGCATCTTCATCTTTTGCTCCACTTATCTTCTAGGTTCGATACATCGTAAAAGAAAAGGACAGATACAGGGCAGCCCTTGCTTTGCAAATCACCAACTTGTTCACAAGGGCGATGTTTGCATACAAATTGGGCATGAACGATCTGCCACAGGCTAGTAATTGTGACACTTGTAACTTTGCTGCTCCTAAAGATTGAAACTTTACCCCTCTTCCTATTTCAAACACGTCTTTGCCAGTCTTGGGATTTGTGTTGGAAAACAAAGGTCCCATGAGTACACTGGATACGTGCTTGGGAAATAATCATTCAGATACCGAAGATACAGCACGAGTATGTTCTGTCCCATTGGAATTTAAATTTAGTTTCCAAGGCTTTCACTCGTAAGAGTCGTTCATCTGTGATAATTCTTTTTAAGTTTTTGTCAACCTTCATTATCTGCATCTCATTTTCTCGGACACTTCCAAGAGGATTTAAGCCTTTTGCTACATAAGCTCTTCATTTTGCACCTTCCACTTTGCTTGCTCAGTCTAATTACGGATACTTTTCGCAACCCTAATTAATTTGCTCGGGGATGCTAAGTGCTGCCAGTCCATGTCGAATTATATTTTATGGATGTGTTTCCATCGTTCTTATCCACTCGACCTAATGTTTGAAAATATTATCGCTGTTCAAGCAGATCGTCAATTTGTTTGGCCGTCCCTGCTGAAAACTAGCAGAACAAAATGTTATTAAAATGAAAGCCTGAATTGTTGAGAACAGATGATTTCTGCAAGAGTCCAGTAAAAGGCTATTTGAGTTGAAGTGTTTTCTAATATCACCAGTATTAACAATGCTAACAGAAACCTTCTTACAATCAAACCTCTAAGACTTTCTGTCTTGCCTGAAGGCCTAAAAAATGGATTTTGCCAAGTTTAACCTCATATCTTGTTACACTCCATTACGTTGACAAAGGTATTCAAGCCATAAGTTTCGTTCTGACCGCTATTGACGTAAAGAGATAGGCCTGCTAATTGAAATCAGTGAAAACTAAATAGATCTGCATTGGATTCTGCTTACTGTGATTACATTTATTGTTTTCAGTAGAGGATGACAGAAAATTAATGCTCTTTTTTCAATAACAAATCTCTTTTAGGATATCTTACTCAATTATTTGCCATTTTTGCTGCTTGCATTAACTTATGATAACTTGTTTTATTTTTTTGCAGTCAGTAGCATTTTTCAGTGCAATTGACATTGACAAAGTGATTCGCAAAGAAGTAACGATGGATTGCAAGACACCTTCAAACCCACAAGGCCTGCAAATTGGACATGGAATCCCCCCAGGCATGTAAAATGCCTGCTAAAAGTACTTGGAAAACCCAGCAATATGCGTTACACCTTCATTCCTTTTCCAAAGAAAATTCTATTTCCGCCCCCCTACCCCTAGAACAATGTTGATAATTTAGAGAAATATCATGATAAAATACGTAAAAAGAAAGTGCTTCCAAAAATCCTAACCCGTTTAATAGTAAACCAACATCTTTCCGTGGGGAAGAGGGGATGATTGATTTGAGCTTGTGAATTGACGTCAGTGTTCTAAGACTTTGGCAGCCATTGTAACTTCATTAGACTATTCAACTCAATTTTATTGGTTTTGTCAGTTCAGTTTCAATTCAGTTTTTGTCAATTTTCAGTAGCACTAAAAATATTTAATTACATAGTGACATGCGACCTTGAGTTTGTATGCATGTATGTATTTGTATAAATAAACGAATGAATTATTGCTTTCAGGTTTTAATGGGATACAAACAGATATAATATGATTTTTGCATGTTTGCATGTTGGACCGTTTATTAGTTTTTTAAAGTATTTTAACGATTGTTTCACCGACAATTTGTGTGTTTTTTCGAAATCGTTTACTGAACTGCTATTGATAAAAGTCATTTATTTACAGGCGAGGCATTGGATATCTATCAAATATTGGATAAAACGAACGGGGGTAAATTGGCACCCTGAGCTTGGCTGTTGTCGTGCACAATGTATATTGTCGTGCACAATGTAGAAAAATTCAGTTTGGAATGTGTGGATTGTTCTTTGTTTTTTAGGTGTTGTTTTGTGATAAGAAAATTCTGTAAATATGTGTAGATAAAATAGGAAATAATGATCTTTGTGCGATTTGTTTCGTCTAATAAGCATTTGTTTACTCTCGATTTTAAATCATTTCTTGAATTGGCCTATCTCGGCTGATGCGGAAAAACCCCTTAAATGTTTTCTTATTTTCATTGTAAGCTTCAGGAAGTGTTCACAAGTCTTGAAATATAGAGTTGACAACATTTAAGCCACAAGTTTGATAACGCGCCATATATTTTCTATGAATGGGAGTTTATAAGAACGTGATGTTAAGTTTAAGAAGAAAAAAATGTTCAGCTATTGTAAAGGATTAAAGCCTGGTGGCCGAGCGTGGTGTATAAAGGACCCCAATATAAAATGTTTGTTTGTTTGTTTGGTTGGGTGTTGAGTGTTGGGTGAATGATGGGTAAATGATGGGTGAATGTTGGGTGAATGATGGGTGAGTGTTGGGTGAATGATGGGTGAATCTTGGGTGAATCTTGGGTGAGTATTGGGTGAATGTTTGCTCGCTATTCCCGGGCTTAGAATTCCTTTTTAAATCCCTAAATTCTCAAATTCACTTCCTAGAGAGAGATACAGTTCCCGTAGTTTGGTTAAGCTCCTTGCAATGAAAACAAAAAAACAATTTTAAAAATGCAGCACTTTCCTGGTGCTACGTCCAATTTGTTTTGTGTTTAACTGAAATGGAGAACAAGTTTTTCCCCTCTCCTTTCAGATCTTATTCTCTTACTTGGAAAGTGACGAGCATGATTCACGTTTTCTGAGTGATCTGTTTAGCTGGGGCTAGGCAAAAATATATTGTAATATTACGTATAAGTTAATCCTAATTTGTCCGGAAGGCGTTTCTTTTCATGGCTTGGCATATTATTTTATGTTAATAATTAAAACACATTACTGTTATGGATTTGTCGCCCGTAGAAACATTGTTTTTAGTTTTTTATCTCCAGATAAAATCGTCTTATAGTCTTGTATGAACTGCCATCAGTCAAAGAGATTTATAAAGGCCTTTGATTGTTTGGTCTGAAGTTTACCAAGCAAGTTCCCGTTGGGTGTCAAATCTGACAGTTTTACAAACAGCAACCAAAAAATAAAAGCCTTCTAATTTACATGTGGTTGGCTCATCGTGAAAGCAGTTTAAGTTAAAACGGGGTGTGTAAAGCAAACTTTCATTTTTTAAGTGTAGCTTAGAACGATTTTTCTCATGTCAAGAATTTTCTGCTTTGGTGGTTTTCACTATTTTGACAAAACATCGTAAAAATTCGTAAAATAACACCATTTTACAGATGAGGAAATTGAAATACTAGCATCTAAAATGGCTGAACAGCTCTATATTTCTGTTCATAGTCTCCGACGACGAAGAGGGATGTGCGCTCCAGCAATAGTGAGCATTATATTCACTACGATGGCCCACAAGGGACATGCAGCATGTACTAAGTTTTGCACGTACACAAAAGCAAAAGCGGTTGCAAAATGAATTTCACATGCACAAATTCATTTACATGATCACAAAATATAACTGCAGCACACTAAGTAAATGTTGCAGCATACACTAAGTTTGACCTGCAGCATACACTAAAAGTCTGACCTGCAGCATACACTAAAAGTTTGACCTGCAGCATACAAAGTGTTGTTGATGTTGCCACCTTGTTCCCGCCTTTGCATCGCTGCTACGATCGGGCAAGATGTTCTGCCAAAATTGTGGGGCGCATCTCCCAGCAGATGCTAATTATTGCCATCAATGTGGTTCGACGAAGAAACGATCACTGGATTCAAGTGATCAAAAAGTAATCGAGGCAAAAAGATCTCGACAAACTGCCGGTTGCGAAGTATCATTTGAGGCGTTTATGGAGGCGAAGGGGAAAGAAAGGGCTGCTGGTTTCAAAGCCAAGAAAACACAAAAAAGCAAGTCACAGCAACCATTTGAAGTCAATGTTCAGATCGGTATTATGCAAAAAAAAGATGGACTTTTGCGCATTGCCAGGGGCTCTTGCTTACCCCTCAAGATTAGCCCAAGCGTGGGTGCTGAGAGCTGCTGGCAAAAGCACGCGAGAAAATTGTCAGGTTCAACCAAAATGTATTCGCGACCCATGATATGGTAACCCTTGTTTATCCAGATAGAACGGAGGTAAAAAATTTACCTGGTAGCACAGAATCGTTCATTTTAAAAAAGTACAAAGAAGAGCTCGGAAAACCATATTCCAGAATTTATTTTTATTTGACTAAAACGTCAAACTTTTTGAAGTTCATGCTAAATGAAGCATACAGCCCCATCGAAGACGAGGAAGACGATGACATTCAAGAGGTAGGATTTTTAAAAAAAATTCTTTCCCAAAGGGTACTTGTATACATTATCCATATACACTCTTTTTGTATAAGAACCAGTAAATCTAGATTCAGGCTTTTTGTTCTTGAATTTTCCAAAATCAGAGGCTGAATTGCTCTTGATTTGTTGTTAAATTGATAAATTAGGCCGTGTCCAGGCCTAATTTTCCAAAAAGGGGGAGAGACAACCTGCATTTGCAGACAAGTTTGAATGTTCAATGAAAAAAAACCAACACATGGCTATTGCATTTTACAGTGGCTCAGCCTAAGCTTGTTCTTAATTTGTTCTTGACTTTTGACCAGTTTGAGGCTGTTTCTTTTATATAATTGTTCTTATAAGAAAAGAGTGTATGGTTCCATTTTCTGACCCTCGCCAATATATAAAGTTCTAATTTCAAGGAACCCCAATATCGAGCCTCAGATTTCAAGAGCCTCAAATATCTTCACATACTGTATTTTTTTATACCTGAAAACTCAATAAATGTTTGTAATATATATTATATGTAATATATAAATTTTGACTTTTCAACAGCTCCTTGTTTCACCGTTTGCGGCAACTGACTGTGCAATGCCAACAAGTTGGGTGAATGATGGGTGATGCGGCAACAAGAGACCCAGAAGCATCAACATCTAAGAAATTTGAGCATGAATCTGAAGCCCTTGAAACTGCTTTGTTACAAGCCGCTCAAATTGAGAATAATCCTGAGACAATAATAATTGAAAATATTGTTGAAGGTAACTACAGATAAGTTCATCTTATTAATTAGTAAATGTCTTGAAGCAATTCACAGACTTCCTATTGGTTTCCTAAGAGAAAAGTGGAGGCATTATTTCAAGGGCAGGAGGCATTTTGTGCATATTGTGAGGTCAGAACATTTTGCAGCCCATGCCAATTTTGGGAGATTCCTTTGGTACTGTTGGGAGATTATGTTGTCTTCATATATATGTACCTCCAAGTTGTCTTATGTGCTATATTCAAGCCCCATATTGTATGGTTCCTTTAGTGATTTTGAGATGTTATGACAAAGACACAACTATATAAGTTTTTCAATGGGCTTACAAGTAACATTCATGTTATAATTATAAACAGTCACAATTTGTATATATACTCTTTTTTTAAAGCCAGTAGATTTATGTTCAAGTAGCTCAGCCTCAGCTTGTTCTTAATTTGTTCTTGACTTTTGACCAATTTTAAGGCTCCTGTTCTTATCAAATTGTTCTTATAAAAAAGAGTGTATTTGAAGATCAAATCAACAATATGAAGTTTCATTTATGTCTTTGCTATACCAATCTTATGTGCAAATAATGCATCTCAATGCATTTTATATACTTCACAAATGGAATTTTACTCAATTTCTAATCCTTGTCAGTGAATGGTTTTATTTCATCAACAGGTCCTGCGATACTGGATGTTGTTGAAATTTCAAATAATGCAGCATCAGAGAACAACATAAGACTTGTTAAGATACATAGATCGAAACTAAGGCAAGATATGCTGGAGGTTTTTAACCATGATGATATTTTACAATGCAATGTTGATGTAACTTACATTGGCTATAATGGGCAAGAAGAAATTGGACGTGGAGCAGGGGTTCTTCGTGATGCATTAACATCATTCTGGAAAGGCTTTTGTAATGCCTTAAGTGTTGGTGCTCAGAGTAAAGTACCTGCAATTCGCCATGACTATCAAAAGAAAGAGTGGGCAGCTGTAGCCAGGATCTTGCTGTTTGGATTTATGAAGGAGCGTTACTTTCCACTGGTTTTGTCCCCAGCATTCATAGCAGCATGTTTGTTTGGGGAAGATGGTGTCAGTGATGACTATCTGCTGAAATCGTTTTATAAGTATATAGGTGAAGAAGAAAGAGAAGCATTGAAGAAATGCATGAGTGATGACTTTGATTCTACAGATGAGGATGTGTTAGATTTTCTATCTAGTTACAAATGCTATAAACATGTTACCAAAGAAAACATAAATGAGATAATTCATTGTTGCTGATCAATTATATACTCAAAATATTCTGTATATACATTGTCTGGGTTTTCCTCTCTGATATACTCTTCAAACTGGTGTAATTCATCTTCTTCAACTTCTGTTTTACAATCATAAGCATTATAATATTCAGGCAAATAGAACATTATATCTGGTACTCCATGTACTTTGCTGTAGCCATTTTTTGAGATGCGATGAGAGTTCCAATGGTCTTTAACACTGTTGAGGTCATTTTGAAGTATTCTTGCAAAGCAGAACCATAGGCATTCCATATGGATATGATCACCAAGCAGTAAAGTGCCTTCATCTACAAGACCTTTGAAGAAATCCATCCACCAGCTACTACGGTTTTTTCGTAAATATGACCACCAACCCTCTATTCTCTGATTGGCTGGGGATGAGCAAAACCTGTGAGCCTTCATTCCTGCTAAGGCATCATTAGAGCCAGATCGTAAGGTGCTCTGGATTGCAGCAGCAGTACCATTTTCTGTACCCCTGTCTGAGACAAGTACTCTCGGGCAACCACCTGTCTCTCTTATTGAATCTAGGAATAGACTTGCAGTGACATTTGGGTTGTTGTTTGACCTAACAACCTCCAGCCAGAGAATCCGACGGCTAAAGCCATCTATGGCACCATGAACTGGAAATCCATAAGGCTTCAGCTTGTCATATCCTGGATTTGAAAAGAGTAAAAAAAACACAAAGTTTTTCTAGTGCATTTTTCAAAGCCTCAGTGTTGCAATAATCTCTGAACTTAGCACCAGCATAAAAATTTATTTTAAACTTTTTGCTTGTGTGAACAAACAGTTAGCAATCAAAGATGCTATCCAATAATTTCCACGAAGTAGCTTTCTATGACTATCAGCAATTTCCAAAATTATTGTATTTAGATATCTCTGTTTGGAGATAAATTTGAATTCTTCTACCCCTACAAAGGAATTTTCAAAAAAAATCTACATACAAATCAGTCCTATTGAAGCTGAAATTATTTGTTTAATGGTTATTTTTTGAAAAAATACAGTCATGCATGTGGTGATAAATATTTGGGGACAGTACCTGGAACCCTATATCCCCCAGTCTAACATATTTCCCATGGTCCCTGAGCTAATACGTACCGTCTACATGCCATGAGTAATTTGGGCCTTCTGAGAAGAAAGTGCGACGACGTAGCTTTCTTTTCTTCCGAGCTTCAACTCCATCTGGGTCCATCTCTTTCATCACATTTGCAACAAAAGATCTTGGAACATGTAAGTGATGTTTCAAACGAAGGGCATGCCAAATGCTTCTATATCCTGCTAGACTTCCTGGTCCACTCATTTCAGTCCTTATAATATGTCTTATATGGTTCTCATCTTCGAAATCTATGTTCTGTTTCCGTCGCAAGTTCATCAAATTAAGTTTCCGTTTCAGTGTCCTGACAGACATTTTGATGCCATCTCTTTCCAAGAACCTAACAATGAATTTGTATTGATAGCCACGATGGAAGTACTCGGTAATCAACTGGTTGGTTTCAGACTCCTTCTCGCACTTGTCACATCTGTCATCTTCTGATACTTCTCCACATGTAATACAGAACATTATGTTTGACCTTTGCTAACGGCGATTAGAAAAATTTGTCAAGAATAGCAACATCAGCAAACACCAACACCAACACGGTTTGCAACAGCATCAACAACACTTTGTATGCTGCAGGTCAAACTTTTAGTGTATGCTGCAGGTCAGACTTTTAGTGTATGCTGCAGGTCAGACTTTTAGTGTATGCTGCAGGTCAAACTTAGTGTATGCTGCAACATTTACTTAGTGTGCTGCAGTTATATTTTGTGATCATGTAAATGAATTTGTGCATGTGAAATTCATTTTGCAACCGCTTTTGCTTTTGTGTACGTGCAAAACTTAGTACATGCTGCATGTCCCTTGTGGGCCATCGTATATTCACACCCTGGGTATCGGAGTCTCCGTAAAAGTAGTCTTACGAATAAATGCCGTTGTGAAGGGGTTTAGGAGTTGTGATGAACCTACGAGGACCAAGGGATATACCTACGAGACATAGTTTAATTATTCTATGAGCTTCCTTCATTCTCGAGGCTTGCCAGATTGGCCCTTATTGCCGGATTCAAAGTTAAATTGCCTGGAAAAACTGTTTTTGGCCTTTTAATTAAATTTGTTTAATTAAATAATTAATTAAATTTTAATTTAATTTGAAACTTTCTCGTGGGCCAATAGTTATGCCTGTCATTTCTACCGAACTTTCAGATATGACCCTTGCATCGAAAATCATTGACGAAATCTCAAACAGGCGTTCCTCTTGTGTAGAATCTTCTGCATAATTCTCATTTTGTGGAAACTACCCGCCAGAACTAAGACACTTTTATACATTAGCAAGACTTTTCCAAATAATATGAAAAACTTTGGCGTAGTTCATCTAAACCTGCAAATGATGGAGATTTCAATCTTGAAAACTTTGGAAAATATAAACGTGCTAAACTAGACGAAAGTCAAGTAATTGATTAACTTAACCATTTGGGGCTACTCTATGCCTTTACCCTTTATATATTCATTGTAACATCATAAGCACTTACGCCTCATATCTTGTCAAAATGGATATTCCACAATAGTATCAATAAAAGAGGCCCAAAATGGCGGAAATTACTAATTTCCCGTACTTGTGACGTCATCAATACTTTGACACGTGATAGTTTTTAACTGGTTTATTTTGGGAATTATGTTTCTAAGCATTTTTTGTTCAGTTTTTTATACTCATTCGATTGATGTTGTTTGTTTTCAAATTTGACGATTTTCATTTTTTTCTGACCGTTAAAATTTACGTCATCGATCACATGACATCTAGGGAGAAATTTTTTTGGACACCCTTCAAAATTTCAAGGTATTAGTCCAGGGAAGTGGAAACAACTGAAAAACCTCCGGTTACCCTCTCCGCCAGTTTGTTAGGAAAAATTCCCTGTCTATACCAGATTGGCCTTTATGAGGCCAAATTTTCCAACTTTGGCCTTTCCCAAAGTCAAATTGCCTGGAAAAGTTGTTTTTGGCCTTTTAATTAAATTTAGCCTTTTTTTGATGAGATTCTGAATTGAAAGAGTAATTACTACATTGATGGAAAACTTAGTAGTTTGTTACAAAGTGTTACCCAACTATCAAATAATTTCACCTAACCAAACTATAAGCAAAGGAGTTTTTTGAAGAAGAAATAAGTTTCTTATTTGAGTTTCGACTATAAATCTCTGTGAATAAATATTCTGATTTCAAAGTTTATTAAACAGTTTTTGAATGATTCTGGCAAGATTTTTGCAACGGATGTATTACTGTGAGCTTTGCCGGTTCTGTAAATATTGGTTTGGTTGATACGGATGGATTTTGCTGAAAATAGAAACTTGAATCAGCCTCAGGTAATTAGCTATTTTAATTATCGCTCCCAATTATCAAATGTGCATCTTGCAAGAAAAAAGTAACCCAGTATCATTCGTTTGATTGTCGTTGAATGCACAGCACACCCTGTCTGTGTTGTTTTCAGATGTTGGTCAAACTTGATATTAAGGTTACTTTCAGCTTTGTAACCACGCCTCAGGGGAAATTGTATATTGTTGCAAAATGGTCGAACATTATGCAGCAAGACCTTTTTCGTTGTAAAAGTGCTTGTTGTCTCATTAATAATGCATTTATGATACTTCTCTTTTATTACCTTCAGTCGGAACCGGTATCCAATAGCAGTAGTGTCATTATCACTTTGCGATGCAGTAAGATGCCAAAAATCAACTCTTTCTTATGAAGTATACATTTTTCGTACAAGCAGCAGCATCTTGCAGCAATCACCTTACTTATCTATGAATAACGACCTATCATTTAATATTTGAGAGATGAGCTTACATTCAATCCAATATGTAAATATTTTTACGTGCATAGATATTCGTTGGTATCAACGAATGGTTCGAACAATTCGTTCTGTGGGAGCCTCCTTCTTCGTCATTAGGATTTGTGTCAATGTACAATAAATGTACCAATGTACAATAAATGTACCAATGTACAATAAATGTACCAATGTACATTAAATGTCTTTCACCACGAGACCTTAATACTCCGAGACCTTAATGCTCTTTTCTTATTTTGAACCATTTCCCTACCTTTATTTATTTATGCTTTTAAAGATGTTTTTAAAGCTTCTTGGTGGGTGATTTCTTCATTTAAAAATGAGTTGCAAAATTAAAATCTCCATATCTTTTGTTCTTTTCAAACATTCATACAACAATTAATACATTAAAGTCGAGGTTCTGCTTACTTTCCTTATCATTCATGTAATGATTTTCGTAAATGAATAAAATTTAGTTTTCTTATAATCCTCCGCTGTTTTTATGAAAATAATCTAGAGTTCTTGACGTACGCCATTTGCAAACTTTAACCTCTCAGGGCGATCAATATATAATAACATGAATAGTTTATATAACATTGTTTTCATGAGCTAAAATAAAGCTGGATTGCAAAAGATTTCAATACACTTTAATTTTAAAGTCTTTTCAGGCTCATTTTAAACTCTAGACTAAACCTAATTGCAATAGGATTTCATTAAAAATGGCCGAAATGGCTCCTAGATAAATTTTGTCCTATACCAGAAGAAAAATTTGCCGATCGCCGAACTTGAGACCAACAAAACACACAGCAAATGCCAAGGAATAGGAAAATGGTTGTAGAAAATAACAATTCTCATGCAAAAACTATTCGTCCATAGAATAAATGCAAGGAATTTCAACTCAAAAACATTGCTTGCTCTTTTCTTATTTTACCCTTGATGTAGGAGGGATGTACACGGCCAAACGCTCTTTCAATTTGACAAAAACCTTCCATTGACCATTGTAATAAAAATAGTTTCAAAATGGATTTCATAAAGCAAAAATAATTGAGCTTTCCGCCTGACATTCTTCAGAGTATAAAACTTCAGAATAATTATCGAGAAATCGGTTTGGTTTGGCTGACCTTGGTAATTTTTCCTTATCTTTTTAATGCCAAACCTTATGAAATGCAAAACATACAAATTGTTCTGAGGAATGATTTCTGCCCACCTAACGTGAAAGTGTTTTGCGATGTGAATGATTTGCACATGTTTACGTTTATCTCGCTCCCTGTTTCTTTCTTCCATTGCTATTATTCCCAATTGTAAGTCTTCCTTTTCTCCATTTTCCCCTTTATTACGAGCACGGGCATTTCGACTCAAAGCTGGTCCCAGAAGATCACACGAAATTACGCCTAGACTCCCTGTTGATAATTTTAGCCAATCGGGTTGCCCCTAGCTGGAGATTCAAATTCGAGCGTTTTTCCAACGGCCATTGTCATTTTGATCACACATCAGATGCCCTGAGCACCAAATAAAAGAAACTCGTTCCAAGGTAGAAAAGAGCATATTTTTGTCAATATATTTACACTGAAGGTTTCTTAAATCATACACAGAAATGGAGGCTGCGAGAAGAATCCGAAACGTGAGTAAACTTTGCAAAAAATTCATCTTAGGCACCGTGCTTGTCCCTAAAAAAAATACTGTTTTACTTTGCCTAATTCTTTCAAACGTCCCTATGCTTCAGAAAAGTACCATAACTTTTTGTTTTGGTGTCTGAATGACGTTGCTTGCTTCCTTTTTCTATTAACGGTTTGACGGTTGTCCGCTTTTAGGAAGGTACATAATATTAGGCCTACTCCGAAGCCTCCACGTGCTAGCGTCCCCAAATGTTTCTCATCTTTAAAACATTAATAATTCAAGTTTGCTGATCTATTAATAAGCAATGCGGAACAGAAATGTGATAATTGAATGCAAGAATCTGCTAAGTGGCCTATGATTTAACATTTAAAAAAGTCAACAGCATATTGCCTTTGTTGTTTTGCAACTGGTGTTTGTCTTCAATGGCAGTGCAAGATCTTTAATCTTTGAATTTTTATTTTATTTAATATTTTCAGCTACATTTGCTAATAAAATATTATTTTTTAGAATATGGATTATGATTTCAAGAGAGGAAGTACAAAGCCTGGTATCAAACAGACCAAGGGTACTACAAGGACTGCTCTTGGAGATATCAGGAATGTAGCTAAAGTATGTTTCTTTTTGAATCCAGAGACTTATAAATATTTTCATTGCTCGTGTTATTTGAGACACAATTTTGTACAAGATTAAAGAGGAATAAATTCAGGAGCACAGCCTTGAATGTTTTTCAAAACTGCCATTTCAACTGTGTTCTTCAACAAAGCAGATGGTTGAAATGACATTTTTTAAGGAAATGTTTATTTAAAACCAAGATAACAAAGTGCTTGTCAAATTAAGTGAATAGATGACACTGTTTAGGATTAACAAACAAGCTACACTCTATTTTATAAGAACAATTTTGTAAGAACACAAGCCTCAAATTTTTTCAGAAATTAAGAACAAATAAAGAACATGCTGAGTCTGAGCTTTCTTCGTTCTAAAATACGTTCTAAAAAGTAAAAAAAATGTATCTTAGAACAATGTTTTATCTCAAAAAATAGGAGTCTCTTGCCATCCAGGGGTGTTTTGGGTGAATTTTCAAACTTGAATTGCACTGCATACCCCTTAACTATTTAATAATAAATTATGAACAATGCAGTCTCTAATTTTTTTAAAAAAATGAAGAACTGCCAGCCTAATCTTCGATTTACTGGGTGTATACAGGAAAATGTCTGTCTTTATATCCAACTAGCATCCTTTTTCAATGTCACAATTTTCTTCAACTAGGGCAATAAACAAAAGACCTTCTAGTTTAAACAAAAGCTGAAAAAGTGCAACCTAATAGCATGGGAGATGATTTTGTGAAATAATTATAAATGTTGCAAGTGAAGTTAGTTTGCTTTCATTGGTATATTTTCACTCTGCAAAATTTGTACTCTTTTGTAAAATGGGATGTCTTGTTTGAAGCACTTGACACGTAAAGCAGAGATGCATAAACCTCCCCAGTGAACCAAATTTTATTTTATTTTGCCATGCTTCCTTACACCTAACTGTGCACCAAGGCAGTACTGAATGCTTAAATTTAGTGTGCCTGATTGAAAAGTAAGTAAATTATCTGCTACAATATGAGACAAACCCTTTATTGATTCGTACAAATGGTTTATATACACTTTTGTTTTCTAATCCAGGAGAGAAATTTTGATGTTAAAGCCCAGCAAAGAAACAAGAAAGTTGAAACGCAAAAGTTACTTTCTCGTGATGCTGGTAAAGAAAATGAAAATACTGATTTGATGGTGAAAAGAGGAAAAGCCATGTCAATTTGTGAAACATTGCCAGAAAAGGTTATTATAAATGTTATATATAAATGTTTTTGTTACATTTAAATCCATGTAAAATTGCAGCCCTCTTGCTATGAACAATTAATTGATCAATATTCTTTTGAGAGAGTTTTGTGAATCTCCCTACAAATTTAAACATATTCATTCCAATCCATTTTCTTTTAAGTCATTCTTTAATACTTTGGAATTTCAGTTTCACATTAATTTCTTGTACTCAAGGAAGCAAAAATTGAAGAAGCAACAAAAAAGAATCACTTAGGAAAAACCGAAGAAGAAAATGTTGAAAAGGGAAATGTTGGTGAAGTGCTTGGGCATTGTAGAGCCATGTCAGTTTGTGAGAGTGACCCAGTCATTTTAGGAGTCCGATCAATGTCTATATGTGAAACAATTCCTCCAAATATCATAGACATAGACAAAGAAAGTGAAAAAGACCCATTCCAGTGTGCTGAATATGCTGCTGATATCTATACTTACCTTCGCAAAATTGAGGTTAGTTTTTGTCTATGCTGTTCTTATAAATAAAATGTCCTGTAACAAAACAATTCTTTTTTCAAGAGATGTGTACTGAAAAAATATCATTTTATTGTTAGTTATGCGATAATAAATGCTAAATTCAGTTTTTAACTTACATCTGACTCTCTTTTGACTTTCTTGTTTGCAGAAGGTGCTTTGTGCAGGTGATTACATGCAAAAGCAATCTGAAATAAATGAGCGAATGCGATCAATTCTTATTGATTGGCTGGTTCAGGTTCACAGTCGTTTTGGATTGCTGCAAGAAACACTTTACCTCACTGTGGGCATCATTGACAGATTCCTGGAGGTTTGTACAGTTGTGCTCGATTAAATATATGAATGAGTTAACTTTTATGCTAGGTCTATGGTGTAACTGTATTTTGAATCCTATTATTTACTCTGAATGTTCTAGTCGAAGCTTCTTATATTGGGTAGAGAGGTCAATTCAAACATGACAGCAAAGAAGACTGACAATGTTCTGCTATTCAACTGAAACATTCAAAACAATCTTTATTAACAATCAGTTTGCAGAATACCCAATTCTTTTTTAAGAAGGGCCATGTGATTCGTCATTTTAAGTTTTGTTTTCCTTTTACCTTTTAAATTAGCATCAAGTTGTGAGCAGATCAAAGTTACAACTGGTTGGAGTCAGTGCCATGCTTCTAGCTTCAAAGTATGAAGAAACATATGCACCAGAGATTGGTGATTTTGTTTACATAACTGATAACTCATACACCAAAGGAAATATTAAAAAAATGGAGCAACTTATTCTGAGGACACTTGACTGTGACCTGAGTCAACCACTCTGTCTCCAGTTTTTAAGAAGGAATTCAAAGGCTGCTGTGGTAAGTTTCCTCTGAGCTTTATCTTTCATTTCTTGAATATTAAAAAATGACACATGTGAACTATCTGTTTGTTCAAATTTGACTTGGATGTTATCTTTTGTAATCTTTTGTACCAAATATTTTGTAAGATATTATCTATTAAACAGGCAGATGCAAAGAAACACACTCTAGCAAAATATTTAATGGAGTTAACACTGGTCGATTACAAATTATCAAGAATGCCCCCTTCAATAATTGCTGCAGCGTCTTTGTACCTTGCTGGGAAAGTTCTTGAAAATGCTGAATGGACAGATACGCTTGTTTACTATAGCACTTATACTGAACAAAGCCTGATGCCAGTTGTGAAATCAATCGCAAAATTAATTGCAAAAGCCGATGTATCCAAATTCCAGGTTTGTTCTTCAAATCTTATTTGTTATGCATTTTATATACCTTGCCAGGAACAGGATATGTGAGTATTTTATATACCTAGCTCCAGATGCTGTTTCTTTTGTCCGTTATGAGAGAGGTTTACCCCCCCCCCCCCCCATTCCTCTAGATCTCAATATGTTGCATTTTTGTTTTTTTTTGCACTACCAGTCTAAGAAAACAGAGAAAGTTTTTTCATGAAAAACTAAGCTCTGACGTAGAACTGAAAGTTTCTTAAATGTTGCTCAACTTGAAAATACAAAAGGGCTTATTTTGACAGCAAAGAAATACAATGTGTGACGGAAGCTTATGTGATGTGTTGATGCCAAGAGAATGAAATTGTTAGCAAAACCTATTTATACCAACAAACCAAATAATAAAGAGATGTATCAATTGATAATTGTTTTATGATAGCATGTTTATTCCATTATAAATTATTTTGAGAAATGTTGGCTTAGAAAACAAGTTTCTTTTTTGTTCCAGGCTTCTCGGACGAAATATGGAAACAACAAATTCATGGGTATATCGCAGATCTCCGAATTAAAAGGAGACTTGATATTCAAATTATCCCAAGATTAAACAGCTATGGACCAAGCTCACGTGACATTATTGAATTTCAACTGAGTCTAAAGATTCGTATCTGAAGAGAGTCTTTGTCAATAGACACTGACAAATTGAAACGACTTTTTCACCGGATTTAAGTTCTTGTCTTTCGACAGTACATGTATTAAGGTCGTTAGTTACAATCAAACTGGTACCAATTACAGTGTTACCCTTTTTGCTGACGATGTCCTCTGATGAAATGAAAAGCCTCTTTAAAAGGATGTCCCGTTTCTCCTTTACATTTAATGTCAATGGACTCCTATAAACGCCGAAATAGAATAGTCCCCCATTTATTCTTGTCGGCGGGGAAGATATGGTAATCAACTGGTATCTGTTTAATTGCGAATTATTATTCATTTAAATGCATTGATTGTGTAAGTATTATATCTTATTTTGTAAGTGAAAACTTTTGTAAATATTGATCTTATAAATCACATGTGGTTATTTGTCTTTTTTACAACCTTTCGAAGCCAAATCTAGAATTTTTTACAACCTTTCGAAGCCAAATCTGAAAAGTTTAAAAAGCATGTTATCGTTTTTGTTATTGAGAATTAGTTTTAAATTTGAACGGCATGATTGGAGAATTTCACAAGGTTTTAGGATACGAAATTGCCAAAGAAACTCCCTTTGAGTCGCAGTCATGCATAATTGTTATCCTATTATTAACTTCCACCCTTCTTTACTGCGGTCTACGGGGCGGGGACTAAGACTATTATTTGAATTATGCTACATTAACGTATTCCACAGAAATTTCATTACACTGTCTTTAGACCACAGCTGTCAATTTTTCATTTCCTAACTCAAAAACGCAGATGACGTGTCAAAATGATTTTGAAACGACCGGTAGTGGATAGAAACATTTCTGTGTCTCGTGTTTACTGTCATTCGGATCCTATTTCTTAAATTATTGTAGTTGGTAACTTTCCTAAACCAATAGACAAATTCAAGCATTGTAAGTGCGTTCAAAGTCCTATGTCAACCGCTTCAAGCCGATTATAAGCCCGCTTTCCCCCTTACCAACTTTTTGCAAATGCAAACGGCCCTCCACTAAGTTAATCTCAATTTCTCATCACAATAGAAATGAAAGTTTATGTGGACTCAAGGGAAATTATTTTCCATCATATTCTTTTAGTTTCATGATAAACCGAGTGGGGAGTTTTTGACGTAGATTGGCCTAGCGGATCTACCACAGTCTGAAGTGGCATTGTTGCCTGCTACACTCATAATTGATAAACCCTATTCCAGTGCAGTAGTCGTTGTGGTTATAAACAAATTGCAACATTGCTGATGATATCTCTGCTACTCTTGACATTAGATGCATGAAACGGAGAAACACTAAAAAACTTGGAAGTAGGTGTGCCCAAAAATACTGAAATTGTTTCGAGGCATGGATCCGGTGGTAAATAAATGATAAAAACCTACACACCTTCAACAAAAATCACTTTGATTTCGAAAAAACCCTCTCGTACGCTTTTTGACAAGATTTGTTCAACCACAGGAAAGGGTGACAAAGTGAAGCTTTGAAGTTTGATCCGTTTGCGGACAATTGATTCCAAAAGTAAAAAGTCTTGCTTAAAACATTTGAACACGTAGCTCGTGAGATATATGAGACTTTGATGAGACATTGTTTCTAGTTTGCTTAAAATTAATAACAATTCCTAATGGCAGCTGCTGATGTCACAGGATAGAAAGTGGATTAGCTAAGGGCTTAAAGGTGATTTTTCCGTTCATTTTTCATTATCGAGGAAGAAGAAACACACAAATGAAATGATTGAAAGTTTATTTTTAAATCATAACCAGTTTCTTTAGTTTGAGATCATCAGTTCTATTTAGGCACCCAAAATGTAGTCTTTCTCACGGCATTTTTCGATATGAAGGTGTCAACAAGTTCATCAATTGACAGTCTCATGACCACTTCTCTATGTATGTTCATTATTGCAACAGCATTTAATCGTTCTTGAGACATTTGCGATCGTAGGTACGTTTTCTGGCGCCTTAGACCTGAAAAAGATCTTTAAGCTGTGCAACTTGAGACAGGCAAGGTCAGTATCATCCTTACCAACTTATTGACCTCTGTGACCATTGATCGAAACAATTCATCTTTGATTGAAAAATCAACAACACATTGAATGTCTTCTAAATGTACCTCTTGACATCTGGCCCTGTCAATTAGCATATCTCTGTGTAGCAGCGATCTGGGGCCATCTACATCTTTACCATAATATTGTTTGATGTAATCCACCGATTTTTCTTCTCCAGTAAGAAACTGCTCAACTCTCTTCAGATGTTCTGATGTTTCATCAGGCTCAAATCGGTCGGTCAGCCCAACAAGCACACTATCCAAAATAGTAAAATACTTTTGCCTGTAAAGGCCTTGCGCAGTGACTGAAATAAACGAAGCTTCTGTACCCTCATCAATGCGTCTTGGAACCTTATGCTGTTTTGTTAATTTTGGCCTTACTTTTTATGCTTTTTGACCTTATGCTTTTTTATCTATTTCTAGCAACATCATCTAATATAAACTAAACTGGCATCAGCTCTTGCATTTGATACTGACTGTCTGATACAAGTAATTGTTTTTTCTGATTTGCTGAAAGAAAAGCTGGATTCCCTGCAATGTTGAACTGCCCCCTCCAACAATGGTAAATACCATCCTCAAAATCTCTAGCAAGAAGAAGCTGTTAAATTTGGTGAGCGACTTCAAAAAAGCCACCAGCTTTTACACCATTTGCGTTCTTCTCTTTCAAATTAACTTCTTCAAGCCATCTCAAAATATCAGTATAGTTAGTGGCAATTGCTTGTATAGATACCAATCGCATTGTCTAACGAGTGGGGCAAAATGGCCCAAAGACTTTGATTGGTGTTCTTCATGCTGGTCCTTGAAATGAGAAAACCAAGCCAACCAATCCAAGGGGGAACCTTGGATGAAAGCTGTCAGTTCCTGAACCAAGACCATGACATTGCGAATTTCTTCGTTACTATTCATGGCATCTTGGACTGCTAGATTTAGCGTGTGGACCCGACAGTGAACATATATTGCACGACTTTCCTCCTTAAGGACCTTTGATCTTAAGGACCTTAAGGACCAGTAACATGGCCAGATACGTTGGCCGCGCCGTCATAACATTGGCCTCTACATTTGGTGATGTCTAGCTGCATTCTCAGCAGCACATCTTCCAGTATAGTAAAAAGTGCATCACTTGTGGTTATCGAAGTTTCATAGAGTCCAAAGAAAATTTCTTCTATGCTAAAATCATCATTGGCAATGCGAATGCAAAAACTTATCTGCTCCTGACCGGATAGATCGGACGTTTCATCCATGATGATCCCTTAGTACTCTGCAATTTTGACTTTATTTGCTAATCTTCTCAAAACTGCATGGCTAAATTGAATAAGATTTCATTTGAATTTTTAGGGGACAGCCATTTGTACTTTTCTTTTCTTTTTAACCATGAATCTAATTCTGGAATGTCGTCTCTTCTTTCTTCAATAGCACTTCAAAGTTGCTGTTTCCCCCGCTGCTAAACCCTGGCGACCTAGATATCTAATACTTGTGAAGATGGCAACACGTGTTATTCTGTTCTCTTTCATTTGCTTTAACTTTCCGGCCTCCAGCAAACTTGAAACCGTTTTTTCCCACATGCAGTGAACACAGCTATAGAGGCACGGTGAAGGTCAGTTTTTGCATGAGACCGGAAGGTCTCAAGAGCTTTCTTGCAATTTGTAAAGCCATTCACAACAAAGCATCGATACGAATCTAAATGTCTTGCAGTGGTTGGCTTTGGCAAACCTTGATTTATGGCGCTGACGCAAACTTGAAAAAATACCCGCTTCTTTAACTGTCATATGATAACCATGTGTACGTTTTCTTCCAGTTATCTTGGAACTTTCTCGTTGACTTCCTTTCCTCTTGGTCTAAGCCAATTTCAACCAACGCTGCTCCAGCTTCTCCTATCAAATCTCCAATATTTTCTTCTTGTTCTTTTCCTCCTACTGACTTATTTACATTTGTTGGTTTCTTCTGTTTAGATCTTATCACAAATTTGTCAATAGCTATTATCATTTCAGCAAAGATCGCACGTTGCTTTCCTCTGATGCTTCCAGCCTCTCTGAAGGATTGGCCTCGAGTTGGATCTGACCTTATGTTCACAATAATTTCATACTTTATTTTGCTGTAAACGCAATTATCTAATGCAACAAATCTTATGCGTGAAACCAATAATATAACAAACTAATCTAAAAATTGGTAAAGCACTTCCTTATTTTCCAGGGGGGCTTAGCCCTTGGTTTTCGTCAGGAGGGGCTGAAGCCCCAGAGTCCCCTCTGAGTTTACGCCTATGATTACAGTGCTATTAAAATAAGAAAGTTCTTGCAAAAATTTTTGTGAAAAATAATACGAAAAGTAGATATTTACCAACCTTTGGCATCAACAAGGGGTGTTCAGCCCCTCTAGTACTACACCCCTGATACAAATTGTGGCAAAAGAGGTTTGATAATGAAGCCACAGACAAGAAAGAGCTAGTGGATGTTGGTGACTTAATGGTAGATAACGAGATCAGAGCATGATTACATGCTAGCGAGGTTTTATGCACTTTGAATCATAATTATACCCTTGCGAACACATGTGACCTCGAGTTCGCGACGCCATGATGGAATTCTATTCTGCTAAGCAAGTTCCAATCCCTCAGGTGGGGCAATCCAGCGAAAAACTAGTGATGGATAGAGACAATTCTTTTATTCTTTTTGGTCGTGAAACCTCTATAGAGCGTAGAATAGAGAAAAATAACATACATAGTGAAAATTTGAATTTCATTGAAGGCTAGAGTGACACTATACCGGATTGCTATAGGAGCAGAGCGGAGTCCGGAGTGATATTTAGGTTAGAGATATTTATATATAATATAAATATTTAGTGAACTTTTACTCCGGAGTGATATTTAGGCTAGCAGTTACACTACGACGCTCCGCTCGCTCATAAGCCTGTATTCCTTTGCATTTCTGGTACACAAAATCCACTAGATTAAATTTTTGACGATATTTTCAAATCTATGTGCTGTTGCGAATTCTTTTTCAATAGCTTTGCATAAAATGACGAAAACAACCATGAAACCGAGAGATAAATGATGGTGTTCGTAGGACGGATAGCGAGATTGTGTTGCTATCTGATGTGTTAAATTATGTTTTTCGTCCAAGGGCCACTTCATTAAAATTCAGGAAGAGATGAAATCCAAATACGAAAATGTTTTCACGATTTCGATTTGGCATTATCCAACAGCAAAAAAAACTCAGAAAGCGCCATTGTTCACTATCGATCGAATTGCTTCAAGCAGAAAAAAATAAGAAAATCCTTTGTTTCCAAGTGGAGCATATCGGATTCGTGCGATTATACTACAACGCTCCGCTACGGAGTTACTCCGGAGTGATTTTCGTATCA